ACGTATGGATATGAGGCACAAGACAGGCGTGCAATTACATTGGAATAATATAGAATTATCGCACTAGGGTTGGGACTAATTTCAATAGAAGATTAGACGTCATATTATCATAAGCATCCAAGGATATCGCGGCGGCTATTTCTATGCCGTCTTCTGCCGAGAATCGAAGCTGACCGTAGTACGAGGCGATGACGCCAATTGCGATGCCGCCTTTGATTATTACTTTTTATTACTTTTTATTTTTTTCTCCTTATTCCGTCATTCGCTCCACTCGATCGATGAAAATTGAATTTTTACGTTTCCACTGAATCCAAATCTGAATTTAACGTTGAGACGAGAAGACACTTTGCAACTATATCGATTGCTGCCGATTTCCATACGAACGACATGGTCCTGTGGGTCGGGCTGAAGGATATCGAATTTAAGGTTAAAAAAAAAAAAAAATTAAAATTGACCGAACTTGTATTACCGTTAATTTATAGCTTTGTTGTTTAGTAAATTTTTCTTTTCAAGCCTGATATCCAATTCTGTGACGCTGCGACGTCTCCAATTAGCACGACTAACGTGGTTCAGCGAAGAGGTCAGCGGAGTATTGGATTATTATTCGTATTCATAACATATGCGATATCTTTTATAACTCGCCTGCTATATTTATTTGCTCGATATATATAGTCCAAAATCTTTCGCTCTTTGTATGGAGTAACGAGTGTTGCGCAACGCCAGACGGTTTCTGTCTGGTTAATAAATTATATATATATATATATATATATGTGTGTGTGTGTGTGTGTGTGTATGCAGTGTTATCGAATCATTCGATTACGTTGTTAGGAAATCGCGGAAAATCGCGTATACGCCGCGATTGTTTCGATACGCGAAGAGAGAATGAAAAAATAATTTTTTTTTTCTCGAAATTTTATAAGTAAATTTTTGAATTCTTTCCCCGCCCAAAGTCGCTCGCAATCGAACTTCATGACTATCTCGAGCGATCGAGATGGCGACGGCAGAAAAGCGACAACTTCACCTCGTTGAAATTCCTTTCGATAAATATTCATGTATTCGAGAGCTGGTACCGATTTATTTTTGGCGTCGCAACGCGAAGGGAATTTGCTAGATTGCGAACGGTCGTCGACTCTTTGCAAAAGTCCGAATAGGAATTGCAAATGGACGCCTACGCGTAACAGTGTGACTGCGGGAGACGCGGTTCGAAAGGCACGGACGTGCGTAAAGGACACTGAGGTACCCTCGTTACGGGCGCCAGGACGAATAGGCGTTTAACGACATTTTGACTTTTTGGTAATTTCAAAATTTTCATCGTAGTAGTTCGCGACGATCGTCCCGCTGCGAATCAATCCGAAGCGTCGATCGTAGAATCGAAATTTATGTTTTCGAATGTTTCGCGGTCTGAAGTTGGCGCCGGATGCTACAGGTAAATCGGATACAGTGAATATATATGTATACCTACGTGTAGCATCCGCTTGTAAGATTTTGTAAAGGTGAATTTACATGTACATAAGAACCAATACGAATAGGCAATTAACTTGGGCGCGATTAACGTGACAATATTTGGCGGGCATTTTTCAAATAATCGGACGTATTTGCGGTAATGCATTTCGGGAATTTTACGCGGTCGGAGATACACGACTATAGCCGAATACAGGTTTTATATATATATATATATATATATATATATATATATATATATCAATCTAGTATTTCCGTCGCGCCAGTCACGTACTTATATCTTCATACAAAGTCGCTACGGCAAGGCGGTCGCTCGAGTAAATATTTAGGCTGGCTACGAAGAGAGAGAGAGAGAGAGAGAGAGAAAAGAGACTAAGCGCTGTTTTATTTCCATGATTCTCGGCCGAGCAAATAAACTGATTTCGGCAGTACTTCTCTTGGTATCATCACGGGGTTCGGTTCATTGACCATGTTGGAAATAAGTCCTTATATGTATATATATATAGAGAGAGAGAGAGAGATATATATAAAAGTTCTCTTTGTGCTTTGACTACACAGAGACAGTCTGGTTGGTAGTTAAAAAAAAAGAATATATAAATTTCTTAAAGCGCCACTGTGCTTTACTACTACAGCATTTAAGTATACTGTAGATTTATTAATCTCATGACGTGATGTATATTTCAAGCACACCCGTTGTATCTCGGAACTTATGTCTTATACTTGCCGTCAGTGTGTAGAAAGCACAAGTCTGTAACGGCGGCAAATTTAAAGGTGGGAAGGGTCATGGCTCACACCCACGTTATCCAGGTGTTCAAGATTAATAGAGACGGAGCCAATCAGCTGCTGGATTATAAACACGCATTGGAATCGAGGATAAAATCCCAGTATACCACAATTGGATATGATTGGACCTTGTTCTCTGATGATTTTATGCCATACCTGCGAGAGACAGCACTGTGGTTTGTAAATGAAAAATGTATGTAGAGTTCTCACCGATACCGGGTGTCCGAATTGAGTTTGAGTGGGATATGAAAAAAAAAAAAAAAAATGTTGAATTTTTATTTGCAGATATATCGGACGGCTGGATTGAAATTTGGATTTGAGGCTTGACTTTTGAAAAATTTACAACCAAGACTCGATGCGTGTTATACGGATCGGGCGGTTCCTTCAAAAATAAATGGAAGCCTCGTGATTGGCCCTCAGGTACGAGCCTCTCGTTGGGGTGGCGATAAACTTCCACGAGATCCGATTGGTTGTACAATAATAGTATGTATCTCTGATTGGTGGCGGTAGGCTGTCCTCTTAGTCATCGTACCGAATTTGGAAAGTTGGCCTGACTCCAATTTTCCAAAACCCTCATAAAGGGTTGATGCCTTGTTATTGTCGCGTCCTGTGACAATGGCAACGTCAGTTAAGTTGCTGGAATAAATTTATTTTTTTTTCTTACTATTAAAATCAAGGCATAAGTTTTCAATTATTTTTATAACAATTACATTCGTTTCACTCTTGTTTTTGCTCATTCTTTGTTCTATGACTGGTCTTCATTCTGTCATTTGGTATCTGTTATTTTTCGGGGACAAATGCAATTGATTGAATGGAATTTTATTTAATTCACACACAAATATAAGACGTTTATGTTGCAGCTACACTCTTGCAACATTCGCTGTTTACGAGGCGAGACGAAGGTTCAGGCTAAAAGGGTCAGTGAGCCAGGGTCGTCGATTAAACTGTACACTGCTATGTAAAATAGCGTGCAACCTGCGCCATAGTTGTACAAGTTACCATGTGAATGTGCCTTGAAGAAGTAGTGGACTATTAAGGCTGAAGAGAGTATCCCATATGGCAATGATTGTGCAAGGATCTTCAATGCTGTTATTACTGTTGTCGAAGATAGATTTAAGTAGATATTGATTTTTAATCGATCACCAACAACTATTTCTTAAGTGAAGTCATTACGTAGAAGCATTAATTTCCTTCGGTCTCTTTCATTTCACTAAACCCTAGTGCCTGAGCGAAGGCTTTCTTGAATCAATGTAATCAAAGAAGCAATCCTTTGAAATTATTACAAAATCTTTTGTACATTCAAACATCAATAAGTACTTTAAGATGCTTCTAAAGTCCTACAGTATTTACAGAATATTCAGTAACGTTAAATCATCAATAGCTGTTTAGTGTCATTCACTATACACCAGTTGGATAACCTAGGGAATTTAAATACTCAAGTAGTCAGAAAATAAGAATCCAAATGTATTGCTTAAGATTGTTGTATCTTCATAGATGTATAATTTATATCTAAATAGTGTAACATGCTATGTTATAGCTGTATGTAATCTGACAAAACTGTAGTGTCAACTCATGATACGTAAGAAATATATTAGAACTACCAACATGCCAAAAGCATCAAAAGAACATTCTCGACTTCTAGCAACGTTCGTTCAGGCAGTAACGTTATATCTATGTTTATATGTTTGTTAGCAGCGTTGGCGACCCTGCAAGAGAAGTGGGTTTCGAGAAGTGTTTTTGCGTCGACATCTTGGCCCGATCCAAGAGCGCCAAAGAAATGGTGGAACGCTGAGAAAAGCAAACGTGGGCGGCTCCCATGTGTGGATATTATTCTTCCGCCTCCATCGTGTCCTCCTTGTTGTCTTCCTTTTCCTCTTCTTCATCATCTCTTTGGTCTCACCTCGAAGCCTCCGTATAATAAACGCCATTAATTAATTCACCTTGTCTACTATAGCAACAAAGCAAAAAAAAAAAGAATTGTCATCCTGTCAGCTAGTATTTTTAAATCTCCCGCCTTTGCGATCCCACACAAAAAAATCATTGATACCCACTCGATATACCTTCTGCGTTTGATTCGACAGTGTCTCTTCTACGTGGGCTTATTGGATTACTTAAAAGCTCAGAGAATTTCGTAAGTATAAATTATAAATAAGTATAAATACGAATAAAATATTTTTAAATCTCCCGCCTTTGCGATCCCACGCAAAAAATTGATACGCGCTCGATATATCTTCTGCTTTTGATTCGACAGTGTCTCGCTCTTCTACGTGGGCTTGTTGGATTACTTAAAAGCTCAGAGAATTTCGTAAAGTATAAATACAAATAAAGTATTTGTAAATCTCCCGCCTTTGCGATCCCACACAAAAAAGTTATTGATACTCATTCGATGTATCTTATGCTTTTGATTCGAAGGTGTCTTGCCGTTTTACGTGGATTTATTGTATTACTCAAAAGCTCCGAGAATTTACGTTTATATCTCCTTAAAACTCTTGTAGATATTTTTCAGGTTAAACTGAAAAAGTACTGTCGACGAGTCGTTGCGAATTGTAGCCTTTAAAGGTTTTCATTTAAACCAACCTAACCTCACTTCACTAACCGTACACTTACACTCATTCAAGCGCATAATTGTTATCGGCGCGGCACTTCAATAGAGTGAGGTCCCTATATCACGTGCATAAAGTGTCTTTTACGGGTGCAGCGCTTAGAGTTTCTTGTATCATCGACGACAACGGCACGAGAGACGCATTCCAGCCGTTACATTAACCTGAATAGTTTCGTGCGGCATTATCGCCACGAACGCGAGAACATTTGTCTCGGCTCAACGGAATTAGGTTAGGTTAGGGTTAGGTCTCTCAGTACCGACCAATCGGCCGAGACATCGATCGACTCACTAATAAATTGTTGTCTAGCAGCGAACACGCGTGTAGTAAATACGAGAGTGGAAACTTGCATGAAAATTGTCTATGGGAGATCGTCTATACTTTTAAAATACGCACGTTATAGTTTCCACGAGAGTTTTAAGAAGCCCACGAAAGCAGCAGTCCGTCTTAGAGCGGTAACAACCTCTAAGAAAGTTGAACAAGTCTGGTTGCTCTCTTGTAAACACAGTACCCGGGTGTGCGATCGGTGTGTTCATGGTGCATCCTCCAAACCGAACGTGCATCCTCCCTTCGTCCCGTGAAGTGTTTTTTTTGGGTGTTTTTCTAATTAACGAGAAAGACGACGATTCGTAAACTCCTGACTGTAGCTGTTGACACGCGACGTAACGCCGAGCAACACTTATTCACCGGTTTAATTTTAAACTTTGCCCCTGTGCCTGTTCCGTTACGTAAGGAAGACTTCTGAAGGGTGAGCCTCGTGCAGGGTGCTCGAGGTACCCGACGATTGGCCAACATTTACGGACGTACGTTTCTGATTGGTCAGTACGGAGGATCGGCGCGAGAGACTGCCACGAGATTGGTTCTGAGAAAACGTTCTATACAACCGAACCGTGGACTCATGCCAAATCGTGAATTTCATGTCTTAAGGGATAATAAAAGCGCAAGGCCGCTACAAGGGTCGTGTGGCGTGCTTTATGTTTTTTCTTTAAATGATCTATCCTCGTTGTGCAGACAGCTTTAGGGTTTCGAACGGTAAGTGACGGGTGCATTTTTTTCTTCCAAACACCATATTCTCTTCTCTCTTTTTTCTTCCTCTCTGTATTCGATTTAGATTTTATTTTGGCTCTTTGGAATATCCCTGCGAGCGGATGGATCGTTTTATTGGATTTTTAATGTCATTCTTTTTACGAGGGCACGCAAGGGGGCACGCATGGTTGAACTATGGGTAGTTGCCGTTTGGGGTATTGTGGGACTCCTGGGGTTAAAGGACGCGTGCCCGAAGGATAATGGGAAGTTCTCAGTACATTGACCCGCCATGTTAGCTGGGTAGAAGACTATTGGTTCCCTTCGTCAAATATTCTACGTCTCCCCCTTATTTCATGGTGCCCCGTGTAACTCCGTTGGATGGGACAGCTGGTCGCGTGCTGACCCCCATGATGGTGTGTGCGGGCCCCATACTAACTACGGAAGATTGTCTAACGGGTGTCGCGAAATGAAATGCACTATTCCAACTGTGCTGCCAAAACGTAATGACGGGCATATAAATTTTCTTCGATAAAAATATCGTTAGCCTTACGTTGTTCCGCATCCGACATAAAACCAAATATCGTGAAAAAGTATTTTTGACAAAAATTTTTTTTAGTGGTGCAACGAAAAATTTATAACTTCTTTTTTAATAATTTTCACAAAAAAGAAAAACAATAACACAAACATTCTACACGTACGCAACCATAAATGATAATGTCACTGAATTATTTATTGGACACCCTATAGAATGACTTTAACTTCTCTTTACGTTTTTCCAGACAATGGGCTGCAGGCTTCTACCCTCTGCCACCCTCCCCCGCAATCCTCGGGGTTATCAACATAACAGATATCCCAGTAATACCGTACGTCATTAATATACATTAATTTCAAGTTCCACGCTAAGTGCCCACGTGGCCGAAGTATTACCAGGAATTTTAATAATCTATTGCACTAATCCCTCCCCTTCGCCCCCACTCCTTAATCCTTTCTTCGACGTCCTCGGTTTCCCCGCAGCGATCGTAAATTTTAGTTAAAGCCATATTTCCACGTAGGTTAGGAAGTTCGGTGCGGCCGGCGACAAGAGCATCAGGAGTGTAAGAAAAATCCGACGTAAGTAACGGACATTTTTTTTTTTTCTTTTAAAGTCTCAACCGATCATAAAATACATTTCAAGCACGTAATGCCTCTATTTGTGTTCACGCGGTAGCAACGAAAAAATGAAAAAGCATAGCATGTAAAAGATAAAAGTTTTTACCATCCTTCGAGTGATATGAAAAAAACTTGACTATCCCGAGAATTTACGTGACTGGTAAAACGATACTGTAAAAATATTGTAATGGGTATTGTGTTAGAGAAATGAGTATACCTCGTAAACGGGTAATACGATCTTTTTCTGATCATATAAAATTATAACGGTCTTAATTTTTTTTAAATATTAGGATTATCTTATATACCGAGTGCGCCGTTGTTTTCGAAAGGAATATGATCAGCGCGCGTATCGAGTAATATAAACTTTTTTAGGTTAAAAATCGACAGATGTCGCTAGCGGACAATCTTTTAAAAGTTTGCCGCCAATTTCAAATTCTCACCGTTCACCGGCACCGATGTCCTCCGTCGCGTACGAACGACGGAAAATATGACATGCGCCAACGGAGTCCAGAGCGACTCTCGTAAATTTCGCAGCGGCCAATTTCCGTATTGGAAAAACCGGCTTCGGCACGGAATCGGCTTGCGCCTGTAGGACGTCGCGGATGGCGGTGGCGTCGTGGCGCTCGGAGCACGATCCGCCAATAATCACGAGACGAATGACAATCGGCTTGGCAAGATGGCTCGCGAATTAACAGATTGCCTTATGGCTGACATTACATGCATAAGTTAATTCGTATTGGCGCCACGTCGCCATGCAGGATCTATAACCGCCGAGCGCGGTTATGAATGCGCGTCCCCTGAATGGCAATTTCAACGATTGTTATTCAAGGGTAAATAGTGGATATCAAAAGAAACAACAAAAAATTTTTAAAAAATCACATTAAAATTTTTATCGCAAAAAATCGCGAAGATCCAATATAAATTAAATTCTCATATAATTTGCATAAATTTCTTAAAATAAAAAAAAAAAACATACACGGCCGTACAAAACGATGTTCGCCAAAAATACATAACTTAAATGACGCGCCGAAAAAATTTTTCTTTTCGAATTTTTTACGGTAAAAAATCAAGGGGAATCCCCCTGGCCCCCTCAGCAAATTGCGTATCGATACACAAAACGTTGTCTCTGTTCCCAGAGATATTGTTCCTGGACACTCGAGGATTTTCTCTCCGCAGGATGGTGTAGAAAAAAGGGGGGGGGGTTGAGAGGGGGGACAGAGCAAAGGACCCCTTTTAGTAAGGTATTGATTTTTTTTTTCCTCCAACAACTTACCCTCGTCCCCTCTTTTTTCCCCTCCTGATCCGTAACACCATCGACCCCCCATGAAAGAATTCAAAGGGGGGATCCGCCATTACGCTGTTGGCCATTTGTTCACTTTGTCGAATTACTCGGGCGCGAGAAAATTGCATTATGGGGATTAAGGGTTGTTCCTCGTTCGATCTATTCATAGTCTCTTCGTACTTTAATTCCTCCCTGTATACCTCCGAGTGGGTCCATTAATTTTGTTTTGAAAAAATTATTACGCACTTCCTCTATTGTCGGCACTGGTTATCTCGAGTTACCAGAACCTAGTATACCGCTTTGCGATTCTCCATGAAAAATGTGTAGGACGCCTTTTTGTATGCTGCATAGGCTGTCAGGACAAGAGGACGAGAGGCAAAATGTCTGCGGTCGCGAGTTAATTTATGATTCCCGGTTAAAAGTCAAGGATTTCTTTAAGGCCCGTTCACAACCTAGAAAAATCGTCGATTCACTTTCTCGTCTATCTTTTTCGTAAAAAACATTCTTACTTCTTGTCCAATTTTATTTTTCTGCCGTACAATATCGACAAGTCATTCCGCAAGGCGCATGGAAATCTGGCACGAGGTTATCTAGGGCGCAAGCAAGCGCCAGCGCCTCTCGGAAGCGATTGGTACTGATGCCAAAGAGATCGCATTCTACGAATCCTATGAAAATTACTTTAGGCATCTCTCATGCACTTTATAGATATAGGTATAACGTTCTTTGCACATGCACGTGATAACCACCTTCCACGTATGTCAGCTGATGACCCGGCGGAATTTATATCTATATATTTCCGCCACATAACCTATATCGTCATTGGAATTAGACGGCGTAACTTTTACGCAACAAGGATTACCCGACTTGTTGAAATTGTTATCTGCTACGACAATGTTGGATTTGGCGCCATTATTTGAATTTCATGAATCGCATATAACACGCGGAGGCACTTACGCGAATGCCAATGGTGCTTTGGGTGAAAGTTGAGGATAATTTTTTTTTTCTACATAGCAATAGCTATTTTATGAGAGCGATAAATTGGTGGTATGAAAAAAAAAATTTATTTCACAATTGCGTCGTTGTACATTTTTTTTCTTTTTTTTTTTTTTCGATATTTTATCCTCGTCAGCTAACGTGCTTTGTGTATTTATATCTGTACGGCTCTGCACGTTTCTGCGAAATCGCAGCGAGCGTCGTATTCGTATGAATTTGCGACACGCGGGTCGATATTATTTACAGTCGAGCGAATGAATTTTCTGGATGAGCTAACGATAACATCGAGTAAGTCTGGAGTCCATTTTATGATTTCGTTCGATTAAACGTAACGTTCGATTGAGGTATCGATCAGCGAGATATCGATTCTCCGTCGAGCACTCAATTACGTAATTAATGTTACTTAATAATATGGAGATAAAAAGAAGTATATCTTCATCACGCGTATAAACTTGGCTCAAAGTCACTCGATTTTATTAATCGCACTTAAATCACTCTTTGACACCTCATCGCGTAACCATTGGCCAATTAATGTATTGCCAACAGAAAGAATGGCCTTTACGAATTTCCATTGGCAATTGTTTATAATTAATGAATCACCGAAAGACTTCTAAATGCGCGCTCGTGACTGGTAATAAATATGCCGTCGTTACGGTCGTCTATGAGAATATGAAAAATAAATTCAATTCAAACTTACCGCCAAGAAAAGTAACGTACACGGAACAAGGATGACACGCGGGTAAGTGTAGAAATTTCTCGTGGGGACAAAAGAAAAATGAAAACAAGTGGCAGACAACGTAACGGTCACGTGCTCCAATCACTGTACGTTCTCTCAGGTGAACCTGACCCACCAAGGAGTGAATCATCAGGTTGATCGGTGGTTCCGATCGGCGACATTCCCTTCGAATTACTCACGTATACCGATTACGCTCCAGGTCTCGCGTATTAGTTGCAATTAAGCATACGAGCGTCCACGCCTCCTCGGTCTTCCATCTCCGGGTGGGCGAGGTATCCCACGCATCGAAACGACGTCATATTAGTGACGTAGGCACTCCTCTACTCTATATTATGTATATACGCACATATTTATACATAAGTATGTACAACGATCGTGTTCAGACAAGTCCAGACCAGTTACACTTCGGACTCTGTCTCCTTCCAGCTCCCGACAGTCACTTTGTAAAGGACGCGACCGCAGCGCCATCTCTCGGATCACACGCGAACCTCTTACCGCTTCCTTATACCACTCCACAGCCTATCCCCAATTGTACGGTGTCCACGACGAACTTTCTACGGTTCTGCGAATCCTGACTTTCCTCATTGACCAGATTTGCAAACGGAATGGAATATTTGTCCCGCAGGTATTTTTTAACTTCAATATTAACTTCATCAATAGGACGGCGATTACTTGCGCGTGGACGGTTGTAAAAATATTTCATAACCTGTATTTCATCTGAAACGAGGTTCGTGCTCTTTTGTCATAATTTTGTATTTATTTCACGTAACTTAGCGTCTCTCCTTTACGATTATAATACGTTATTTCGTTTGTTTTTCGTGGGCTATGCAGGAAGACATACAATAACGTTACAATACCGTTTACGTAAGTGTCGCCTATTATCTTATTACTTCCTAAAATACACATAGTCGCAAATCGTTACCGTCGAAACTTCCATTGTGCGGACCATACTCGGAACAACGGTTTGACCTTTCGAACAGGTTTTCAGCTGTTAAGAAATTCTGCCAGCAGCGGCGTACCCGCTGCGATTCCACCGCACGACCCACGCGTTTGCACGCTCTTAAATACGCACACGTTTTAGGTTGCCGCTTTCTGAAATATTCTGTTTTCTATAGTATGGATATATATGTTTTCCGGATTTTCTGGCTGCGTATTAATATTTCCAACAGTATCGTACGCTCGTTGTCACTATAGGTACGTATGCTATGTCGAATTCATATACGCTGTGTACATACATTTTATTCAAATACTATAGTCTAGTCGTCAGTTCCTCTTGCGTCTCGGCAGTCTCGGCGATGCCACGCGAAAGACAAAAAAGACAGTTATGTACCTCTCCGGATAAACATGTTTTTCGAGGTTACGATTTTTGCGTTTTTCTTTTGCCGGAGCCAAAGATCAATCGGTCAATTCCAATGAACGTTCTTACTATTTTCCAAGCAAATAAACATAACGAATTCGACGTTAAACATGTCTGGCATCTGATTACGTGTGGTTTAATCAAAATTTGTATTTACACTTTAATACGCTATCGCGACCTCGTATACTACAGTGCACGTAGCTATTTCTTTTTTTTTTACACTTCACAAATTTCTTACTATCGATATAAAACGCGTTTCTTTTTTTAATACCTTATCGCAAAACTCACAATCTTTAATATCCGCGTATTATTTGCGTTCATTAAGTGATACGGCACTGTGTATAAGTATTGCGTCACTGTTACAGTATACGTATTATACAAGAAACATATAACTGTTACAATGTGAGAATTATTTGTTTACTCGGTACAGTCTCGAAGTAATACGATATACATAACATTCGCGTGATAAGACAATTGACTAATGATAACATGTGCGAATGTGTCGATCAGGTGAAAAAAAAAAATAAAAAAAAAGAATTGTTTGCCATATGAGATTTTGCCAAATTTGCCAAAATGAGATTTTGAAAAATTATTTTTTTCATAGAACCAACAATTAACCGTCTCAACGGCAAACATATCGATAATATTTTTGAAAAAAAAAATGAGTTTCTAAAAAAATTCAAAATTACATCTCGTTTTATTTTTCTTTTCGGAGATATATATGTAAGAATCGTAAGAAAAATGATACCTTTTTTTTTTAGTTCATAAATTTTCCGTCTTTATTCACGTGCGTCGGCGTCAGGCTATACCGAGACACGTGTATTCGTACGAATTGTCATCTCGAGTGCGTTTCTATGTGCGTGAGTACGCCGCAAAGTAATGACGTCACGAGACGATTCGTCGCGCGCATAGAAACAGATGCAAGATCAGTGGGTTGGTGTGCCGTGGCGCGTAGTCGAGTGAAAATAAAACGAAAAAGTGATAAATACAAGCAGAGAGACAAGGAGGCGTAAGTGAATCGACATTGTCCAGCAGTGACGTAGTTTTCTGTTTACGCGAATGACGCAGTCGAGTACAAGTTGGGTCGAGTCGAGTTATCCACTCTAGCGTAACGTAATGATCCAATGGATGACTCGTCACCTGACCTTGACACTCGATGCGAACTCTCGGTCCGATATAACCGATAGCAACTACGGAAGACTTTGTTTCGTGTACTTGGCGTCCGTTTAAGGTAAGTACACCGGAGGGGACTCCTTTCTATTAGACACCGTGAGGTGATGGCACCCGGAAATTTTCCATGTTCATTAAAGCTTCGTCTGCTCGGACGAGTAACTTTGGAAATGAAAAATTGTTATGATTATTAACGTCCTACACGCTTTACGACGAGAGATAGTATATATTTTGGACAGTTGGTGCTAATTTGAATTTTTTTTTTTTTTCATTTTTATCAACGAAAAAATATTTTAACCCAATGTCACGGATGATATTTTTGCAGTTTTCTATTGTCATTGTTAATTCGTCGTTTTTTTTTCTTAATTATCCAACGAGTCGATTTTGAAGTTTTTGAAAATTGATATTTACAGGTACGACTTATCGGTATTGTCGTAACGGTAGCTATGGTATGTACAGGATATTGAGGTAAGCTTATCCGAAATTGTACTTCCTGGGTTTGTGTGTATCCCGGTGATGAACCGCAAAATATATAGAACGGAAATGGTGTCGTTCTCTTGGTTTGGACGATGGTGGCAGGAAATTTGAATAAAAAGTGTACGAGGTTAGTGAGAAAAAAAAACAAATTTGGAAAATTGTAAATTGTATGAAAAAAAAAAAAAAATATTTGGATCAATGGAAAATCTTAAGTATCAATGCCCTTGAAAAAATCACTACCAACATCACGAAACAATGAAAATAGTATGCCGTGAGTTTGGCAACTGTATCCGAGTTGACTCTGAGTCATCAGCGTGAACCGGAACTCTATTGGAGAGTCTACCAAGAATCTTGGCTACCTTTATGAATGAAACTTCTCAGAATCGGTATCGGTACCGTCATTCGTACGTGTCACGAGCCGCAGTACAATGCACGTAAGTAAATGCACGGAGAACTGGTAATTTCGAATTTGTTCAATCGTTACCTTCCATCAGTTAAAAGGAAAATCTTTAAGTAATTTTTTTAGCTTGCGCAATTGTATTATCAATAAAAAAAATTTAATCTCTATCATCTTCCACAAATCCTACGATACTTGACCGATAATTAATTTCTGGGAAAAAAAATTTCCAAAAATTCATCACCGACATGCGTTCGATAGGCATTGTTATCGCCAACGTTATTAATAATTCTCTTAATTATTATCAGTGACTTCATTGGAAAATCGATAAATTAATTTCGTCAGATCGATCATTCTAGTATTTTTCTTTTTCTTTTTCTTCTCATTATCTGACACCCGCAGGGGAATCAAGTGTAATCAATGGTTACGGAACGCTAAGGCTTTTTAAATCGTAGAGGTATCGATAATGATCGTCATAAATAATTTCGAAATTGGAACACGGTCGTGTTCAAATAATTTGCCATTATCTTCTTTTTTTTTTTCACAGTACCATGCACCTATATCGATATTACTAAGAGCGAATTAAGAAAAATCATTATCTGTTAAACAAACCCGTACGATTATCTGTCATCCGCCATCTAGAAGCACGAGATTGAAATATTGAAAAGGAGGTAAAAACCATCGGTTCTCGCCAACAGCTACATGTTAAATCCGCCCTGGAAGCAGAGAGCAACAGGTGGTACTGGGTAGTGTATAAGCACTTTGGGGATGATGACCTGATGACTCATGGGGTTGTTCCAGGCATGCTGATCACCAGACCTAACCTCCTTTACGAACTAACCCAATGCTGACAATAAGCTACTCCGACAGCCCCCATATATCCATGTTATTTACTATTTCTCCATTCTATATATATATATATATATATATATATATATATATATATATACTTTATATACAATAGATGAAGTATATAATACCTACCCTTTTACCAATCCACCTTTCTCTCTTTCACCAAATAACCGCATACCTCGCTTTTTTCTCTCTCCCTCTGCTTCTTTTTTTTTTCTTCCTTTTCAGCTCCTCCGGTTCGCTTTTCTCCACGCTCCTAACCTTACCCACTTTCTCGCTTACCTGGATGACTCATGTGACACGTACGAAACGCGCACCGATACACTAGACCAATACACTTGTCCAATCGGACCATACAATACGCATAATCAAGAACAGGTTAAGAATTAGTACGAGCACCGTGCGCATAGATGTCTCTAGTAGCGGCAGTTGGATTCAAAGAATAACCGTTGCGTAGGTGACATCAATAATATTATACCAATTGGCATAGTTGGTATAATTTTGATGTAAGTTATATATATTATATATACATATATATCTATGTGTATTATAAAGTATGTAACGCTTCAGTCTGTGCTAGAGAATCGATGATCCTCATTCCTTTACACCGGATGACTCAGAGTACGCTACTTCCTGGAAGTTCTTTCCGCACGGCCAAGATCGATCCAAGGGTCATGAGATTCCTGAAGTCGAGGGACCGGTATCACCGGAAGTACTGTGACGTACGAGAGCGCTCCTTTGACTCATTTGATTGCTGTGGTTTCCGAATGCTAACTTGCGAATGTGTTTTAAGTTGTATTAGATTTTTTTTACATCGAATTTTCAATATGGAAAATTACGAAGAATTTTTGTCTTGCTTATGGCTTACTGTGCTTTGTTGTGATTGATTGGGCTAGGTTAGGTTTGCTCAAGACGTCAGATAAGGTCCGGTGGTATGCGTTTACTCGAATACTGCTACTGCTCAATGGTCCAATCAAATGGAATGCTGTTGTCCCTGGAGATGCTCACGTGTTAAGTGGAAAGGATAACTGGTTCTGAAAAATATTTTTTGTATTGGAAATGTTTGGAATTTTGAAAAATTCTTTATACCACGTGGGTAACCTGTATCCAATTGTGTGGATAAAATTGTCGTCTTTTTTTATTTAGCCCCATTGGAATTCAATACACGTGACTTCGATCATGCATATCGCGTGACGATGTAAATGCCTGTTATTTGTCTTTTGGTTATTATTAATTAGCGTCGAGTAAATGTTTCATAGAGATAACGAATCTTGAGCTTTGCTTAGCTTTGTAGATTTTGTACTAAGTTGTTATTGGCTTAGCTTATCTGCCGTTTGTTAGATTTTTATCAACCTTTAATTCTTATCTAATCCATCTTGTAAACTATAGAAATTGTATGAATATTTCTAGAAATAAACGTATTTTTGTTACAAGAGACAAAGTAGGAGGTATTTTTTTTACAATAGTTATTCACAGTGAAATTTGTCTATCCTGTAGGCAACACTGTAAATGTTTTGTATACATTTATTATTGATTATCTTATAATCTGCATAGAGTAATAATGAGATAAATTGACATATAACGTACCTTACGACGTACGACATATACCTTTTGATACTGTCCAGAATTTTCAGGCATCGAGCAAAAGCTGCTAATTCTAATTAGAGATTAGGAGAAAGATATAGAGAAAATTTGTGACATTTCAAACCTGGACGTAGACTTGGGGTTTGTTTTTGCTTTACTTTTGCTAGTAGCGTTCTTTATCTTTACCTTTTTTCTATTTTTCGACTTTTTTTTTAAACATCCTCCAGCCAGCATTTTATCTCCTATTCGCCGAGGTAACGCAGCGACGCTGGTTACGTGAACCAGCGTCACTGCAGTCGTCTGCAATGTTGTGAAATCGTTTTAGTTTTATTTCTCTCATCTTTTTTTCCTGGCTAACGATTCTCGGAAAGTTCTTGCTGGGAACTCTTGTCACAGTGTTGCTGAGCAAAGATATTTGTGATCTATATTGTTCTGTCTTTCTCACTTACTCTTTTTTGCCTTAAAGGATCCTTAGCGACCTCGTTCACTCGCGGCGGGTCTCTCGCAATGTCTATCCGGTAGCATTTGCGATCCAAACGATAAAGGACACGACCTCGTTACTAACAGATACGACGGTCGTTACTTGTGAATGGATCTTTAGATTTTGTTTAATACTGACCATAACCGTTGAGGTTACCTAATGGTTTCTTGAAAAGTTTTCTACATGGGGATTTCCCGCTTTCGCAAAACCAATCGAACTACGCGTACCGATAATTGAGTCTAGAATCGTTTTAGTTTTAGTGCGAAGGAAAGTTGGATCCGTTGAGAAACAATTTCTTCGTTTTCTGACAGCTACCGTCTACTACCTGCCTTTAGGCAAAGTTAGTTGAAGATTTCTTCGTGGTGATTGGCGAGATCGTGGCGCCATCTGTTGTCGTACGTCGATATCATCAATGTAAGACAACTTTGCATCATATGATACAAATACCATGTGGATAATAGAAAGAGAAAATAATTTTGGTAAGGAATCTAATTCCTATTTTGCCAGCCTCTGCTGGTTGGCTGCTGCTTGCTTCTTGCTGCATTTGGCGTGCAAGGGGCCGTCGGGTAGTTAGCGACAAAAAATAACAATTTATGTTTTTACAACACTACCTTTCTTAGTTACATTTTATTAAATACACTGTTAAAGGTTCCACCATATTAGGCATTTATACAGGCAGTTATTAAGTTTACACGCATGGATTTCACACAGAATGAACAAATCGTGTGTAAGGTTTAAAAAGAATAGCCCAACGCACGTGGTTAATCCTCCATAAAATTCGTGAGTGTAAACTTAGTGACTGCCTGCATAAACGCTTAATATGGTGGAACCTTTAACAGAGTAATTAAGAAAAATTAACTAAGAAAAGTAACTAACTAAAAGTGCATTAGTTTAAAAAGAAATGTATAAGTTATTCAATGCACTGCAATTCCAACGTGTCCTGTGGAGTTTCATATGTTTCACCGATAGCGAAAAATCCGAGAACGAACTACCTTCGAGAACCAACCTACGTTACCTTCGGCCGTCCACCCTTCGCAAGCCAGGCGGGCGCCAGCCAATTCTTTTTTCACCGGGAACTGACGAGCCGGTATGAACTGGGAGTTGGGATGGAACAGGCTCAACTCCGCTAAAGCAAGAGCTCTGACGGAACCTATCAGGAAAGGCGATAACTTAACGGATCCTGCTGATTTTTTGAGACGCGTAAAATCGAGAAACGCAACCGTAGGTGCCGATCTTTAGGGTCGCGTAAAATCAGCAAACGCAACTAGATGCACGAACGGGAGCGGACGGTTACGGAAATGCGCGGCCGCTCAGGCTGCTAGGTTAAGCTAGAGAGGGTCGGAGTAAGCTTCAGGCAAATAGTGCACGATAGAGAGAGCAGCGGATCGAGAATATAACAGAACGAATTGGACGTATCAAATCGAAATCCCTTCACCAATTAATAAATTGGAACTCACCGGAGCTGGTGCAGCTGATCCGTGAAGTCCGAGAACCGCATCCAGGAGACTCTCAGGTGGGCACTGCACTAGGGCACAACACTACACCTCCGGAACACTCACAGGAAATCCATAGAATTTCCTGGATATCGCGAGAGCAACGCGAGAACTGCACGAGCGAGAACTTGCTATACCGTATCGAAACACAGCTAGAAAAACTATCAACAGATAGCACGGGAGCGCGAGGCAGCTCGTGACACCTCGGTCGGTGCCCCGAGGCAGACTGCTTTGACAAAATAGCCAAATACAAGAACTAATAATTCTGATTGGTCGAGATCCTTATAGCCAATAACTCCCTCGATTCGTCCCTTTAAACAAAATCGACAGCGTTCCTTAGCGGATCGGTACGTAACTCTTGGAAATCCTCCACGGCCGCTTCCCCAGGACATCGGGCGACAGCTGGGCACCGGATCCTTACCCCGGGTCAGGGGGTTCCTCCCCTGCCCTTAACCGTATCAAAACTCTATCTCCGCCCGCTCTACAGCCCTTTGCCCATCTCCAGCGGGACGCCGGTATCTCACCCGGGCTTCTGCCGGTCCGTGGAGACGTCTCCGTCGGGTACTCTCCTCTGCCGGGCAACTCGGTACGTCGAGACTACCTCCCCGCGGCAGATTCGAGCACCTCGACCTCAACTAAACAATAACGAAATCTTACGAGAGCATTGGCGTAACTATGCGAATCAACCCGAGAGCGCAGCTTCTGAGCAGGGTGGCGACTGACTCGAAGGGAACCAGAAAGCGAGAACGTATATCTGTATCGCTAGCCAGAATCGTCTTGTGACCGTGAACCGAAAAATCAAGTCACAATATGAATCTAATATACTATAGTACTTTGCGATACAAGTGCAAGAAAGCGAATTTTATTGTACCAGTATCGCATAATATTTTCTGTAACGAATGCATGAAAAACGCTACTTTTTGTGCCTCCAAAGTGACTGGAACATCTCTTCGTTGGAGGAGGCAGCCATAAGAAGAGCAAGGAAGGCTTCCAAAGTGAATACATTTCATGACAGCGCGCGAGAACAAAGTTTACTTCTCGCACTAGTGCGATAATGTAAAATTGGGCCGATTTGCGCATGCGCAGCATTTTCATCGTATCCATAGATATAAAGCGCCACTTTCGCCACACTCCGGAGGCACGAAAAGTAGTGTTTTTCATGCATGAGTTACATAAAATATTGTAAAATCCTCTTCTTCGTCTTCCTTGTTTTTGTAACCCTGTTACAAATATGAGGTCCATCAGGATTTGCGTTTTATTGTCATGTGAAAGAGAAAACCAGAGAGGCAAATATTTATACACAATTTTAAGAACATAGTAATTTTAAAAAATTTCTATTATTTCTTTATTACTTCATAAGGTAAAAGTCAGTTTATACAAACATCAATAATATCGCCACGACATACTAAATCGATTGAATTGAGGACACCTTACGTTAATAATGGATGTCGAGGCACCTCAATAATACAACGAATAAAATATTATTCAGCATTGATTTCAATGAATTTCCCATTCGATGCTCTTTTCGATTGTTTATTAATTCTCCCGTAATATATTTCTTCGAGAAGTGATACGACGTAGAAAAGGTCTCGTATTGAATCCATATGTATATCGAGAGGAACGCCTGTTTTAATTAAAGAGATAAGCGAGGAAAAAAGATTTTCCAACAAAAAACAATCAGTGTCTCTGTTTACACAATTATTAATAAATTACTCGATCCATCGATCATTACATCGGTAACAGTTTACCGTACTATCACTCACACGAGATTTCTCGAAATCCTGGTATAACGAGGAAATAAAAAGTCAAGATGCTAATTACAGGTTTAACCAACTGGAATTGACAATTAGGTTTTTCACTGTCACGCATTATCGTGTATCGCTATTCTCTATGAGGCCTCATTATATACAATTTCAATTAAACGCCATCTAATTGATTACGCAATTGCCAGTTTACAAATAATACTAATTGTAAGTCTCATCTGGCATATCGATCTTTCGTACTTATTTATAGATATTTTGTAAAAATTATTTAATACCATCACGTCGTATCAACCGCGGATGATTTTTCATTAAATTATAAACGTCTATATATATATACTGTTATTATTTTGGTACACTGTACTGGTTAAAAAAAAAAAACTCCATTGGCAAATAACGCTTAAAGTATAAATCTCATGGCAGAGTTACTGAGATTTCAAAAATCGTCAGCAGTTCTTGCCACGGCAAATAAATGAGATAAACGTTGCAAACAATTTTCAGATAAAGTTTTCCGGCAATTACTTTCTAATAGTTTTATCACGAGTACGGTACAATATTGTACGTTTAAATATTTCGTATAAATAAATACTATAAATTTACACTAGAGCATACATAATTATTTATATTATATATATGTATATACAGTACTGGATGGAGTCATCGTTATAGTTTTTCAAATGTATTCAAAATTCTCACGGTTTCCCGTTACCAAATTCCCCTCATTCTCCTCGCCACGTAAATTAATCCAACAATATGATTTAAAGCTGCTGCTCAGTTATTCCATGTTTAAACATATATAGGGATTGATGACGTCAGAAGAGGGGAAATTTATTTTCCATATTCTGCGTTTTACATTAAATTCGTCCGATTATTGGTTCATTCGCCTTCTTTATAGGACATTGAATGCGGGTCAGCTGTGTTTAAGTGTATAAAATATTTTAATTCGATGAAAATTGTACGAAAATGAGACAGGCGTAATGGCGGCGCCCATGATGTTTCGAGGGTGCAGAGATGCCTCGTTTATTTGCGTAGTTAAATTTTATCGAAATTGAAACATTTTTCGCGTCTGAATCGATAAGAACCGCCAGCCGTGTCGTATAACGAAGCTGGCTCGATAAAGGTTTTGATAAATCATTTACAAATGAACGAAAAAATTGGAAAATACCTTTTCTTCCTTCTGATTTCACTATTCCATGTACGCGTGCACATAGTATATAATTGAACAGCAGGTTTAATTATATTTTATCGTTCAATCATCTATACGCAACGAATGGCTATTTGTTAACGAGGTGTTTCCGTATTAAACGACAGCGTCTTAATGAAAAAGTAAGAAAATAGCAGGGGTTGGTAATTGGCGTTATTACAGCCAAGGACGGAAAAATGATAAAGCTGAGTTTATCTGACTGTCACGTATATGATATATCAATCTTCTAATGTTTGCTGTCATTGATTTTAAGGACCTTCAATCTTTTCTTTTATATATTGCACCTCTAATCATTGTCTTGGTATCGGCAAGGAGTGAAATCCAAGAAACTTATAACAGCGCATGCGCACGCGCGACTTAAGTACGAAATTTTTAAGTAACATTCACATACGCGTACGGAGTTGCAGATGCATACATAACCGTAATACGAATCTAATTTTTAAAATCGATTGTGATTAGTTTGAAAATTATTATTTTTACACTAATCACAATAACGCGTTATAGAATACTATTGTAGAAGACTTTGTCTCAATTCGCAAATTTACAGCTGCGTAATTAAACATTTTCTTTTATTTACGTTAATTTAGATGAAGTCATAATGATGCATATGAAAGATTCAAGTATGATTTCAGTAAAGATATTACAGTATACGAATTGAGATACGGATGTTATTTAATAGGACGAATCCATTTGGCGACTGTTGGACTCACTTAGAATACTAGAATCCTTTTCACAGATTGTTCTTTAGTGTTATCGGAGAGGATATCTTGATATCTTCCTTCATTTTTGGTTCTTGTTGTAATCAGGATTTAAGAGCTGTTACCATTTTTTGATGATTGATCCAGGAGCGTTACTTTGTTCTCTTCTTTTATGTCTTGTTATGATCTTCCTCTATTCTATTGTCTGGTGTGTGACTCGTTTTTCTCTTTGTTAATTTGCATTTCTCTTTCAAGAAAACGGTTACTCACTGCTGATATCCGTTGGAATGATTGTGTAACTCTTGACTATCTATACTGTATCCGGTGATGCTGTCAGGACTTTGAAGAGATGCTGCGTACAAGGGATTCACCGGTGTGGTACCAGTATCAAACTGGGTGGAGTCGTAGACACTGTGATTCTGTGAACAAAAGAATACATTCCAAGATTGATTCTTTTAGATTTTTTGTATGGCTTGCTTCTTTCAATTTTGCTTCGGTTCAATGATGTGAACTCTGCTTCGGCACAGAAGCTTGGTGAGTTAATTTCATACTGCGAAGGAATGCCAGTCATTTCTGTTCGATGTGCCATTTCTTCTTAAAAGATGTCTTTTTTGCGTACTGATTTAAAGCCTATTTTTCTGTTTCACTACAAGATGCTGGTATAGCCTATGGAGGTTTTACGATGCTGGCCTAAAATGCAGTAGTTATCAGGGAATAATTGATGGATGCTGAAATCTTAATGTTACGGCAAGGAATTTTTGACAATGCAGGAAATTAAATTGATATCACTGACTGGACAGTGATATGGATTGTTAGATGTTAGCGGATGCGAAGTTAGTAATAAATAAATAAAAACCAAGTGCGTTGACTACAGTAAATACGTTTAATAATTACGGCGAGCCTGCTAGGCATGCTAATATATCTTTATGTATCTATATACAGTTAAAGGAGGAAACACGTGCTACTTTATTGAATAGTGCGTACGTAATTCTGCCATAAAAATAAATCTACCGAGGGTGCACTGCCAGACAAATGCCAATATTATACATATATAGCACGCTACAGCGTAAATCAGTTGACTAATCAATCGATTTATTCGATCTTAACTGAGGACTGCCATTCGTCTGAATCGAGTGAAGCTTCCCAGTGATATCTTTTAAAATCTATTTCTACCATTTTCTTTTACAAGAACAATTAATGGGATTGAATAAAATTTTTTTACAAATCTATTACCCTTCATCCAATTGTTCAATAGAAGGTTTAATAAAATTCCTCGGGCAGGACACCAACGAATACTGCCACGAATATTTACAAAGCTTCAGTATGGACGTGCGTGAAGTCAGGATGATCTTTCGAGGAATGCGAAATAGGAGATCTTTTAAGACTGATATTTTGGAGAGTTTAAGGATTGAAGATAATCGCTTAATCCTCCAGCTGTTTGACTCCCACTGGACCCTGACTCCGTTCTCTCGGACCTGTACTCTGTGTTCCTGCTTGGAGAAGGTCCTGACGTGACATTTAGTACTTCCGCGGAATCATTAATCGTGCTGCCGGGGCCTAAACTAGCGGATTCGAAATCTCGTGATTTTTGTAGACGACCGAAAATCGATTTGTCATCATAAACTTTAAATTTCCTTGCTGAAGATTGCACAAAGCTAGTCAAACTCAACCTCCCATCCTCGCTATCCTCCTCGTCCTCTTCCTGGCACTCCTTGTACTCTAAGGTTCCACTGTCAAGAATATTCCGTAGATTACTCTCCAGGGGTGGCATCGTCTCTGAGGATCGTGAAGGAGGATTCTCGAGAACTGAACTCCTGGTGGAACTTTCTCTTCTCGTCCCGGGGAACTCGTAATACGCACCATCAGAAGACTCAAGTTCTTGTGCGGTATTCTCCAAACTACTTTTACTCGATGCCGAGAAGAGATTCGCAGTACTATCATTACCCTTGGGTCTGTAGATAAAGTTACTCGCGGTATTCGGCAGGAGAACGAGGTTCGATATACTGGTAGCGCCAGGATACTTTATTTTAGAGGATACTGAAGCGTTCCACGGCCGGTTATCGAAATTGAGATTAGGTGTGCTTTTTTGTACTCCGACTAGATTCTCGGATCTGGTTAGTGGACTGGTATTTCCAAGATCTGAGGTGCTTTTCAGAATATTATGACGTTTCCCCAGGGCCTTAGCACCAGGAGATGTACCGTACAGCGTCACTTGGGAACTTGAACGACCTGCTTTCGCGGACTTCGGATCTCTCCTCGGCGTCAAGGAATACATGGATCTCCTGGACTTGAACGCGGAGGACTTTGGCATTGGCGAATCGTACAGAGGCATGTGAATAGGCGGAGTATGGACCTGATAGATGTAGTCACTGTCGGTTTTCAACGAGGAGAAACTCTGCTGGTGAGGTAAGGACACAGTATCCTCGTCCATAGCGTCGTCCACTTGCGTCTTGTACGAGAACATTATTGACGGTTGCGATACACTGAAATCAGAAGCAGGCACGACCTCGAAAACTTCATCACAGTATACAATAGAATAAATGTTTACGAAATGGATGAAACTATACCCGAAGAATTCGGACAAGAATGTGTGATAGACCAGTGGCGTAAACAGCGTTAGATACACAGCAGCTGTCAGATCGACGACACAGAGCCCTGCAGGATTTTGGGTATAATTCAGAAGTCCTGCTCCTATCGATTGTGCCAGATCCAAGATTGCCAGTGCTCCAGCATATACGTAGAAACTCTTTCGATCTAAAATATACAATTTTGATTAACCAGTGTATCTCTTCTATTTATTCTAGCTTGTAGTTAAATTAGGATTCTCACTTGGTAGTGCAAAACGTTCTCTAAGCCGAGTCCATGGCAGTATCAATATAAATAGGTATATCTAAAATTATTAAAAAATTTATCAAACATATTTCTAATAAACATACATCTTTACGCAGTAGGAAAATTATATTTACCAGAGTGAAGACGATACTACTGCAGAACCAGAACATCATTCCTCCATGTCCAAATACGTAGAAGTTCCTGCTGGGTATGTGAAAAGTATCATCGGGTAATATCAGTTCCAAAGTACCTTGAGTTATTGTAAACGCCAGTGCTATGAATGATGTAGCTAATAAAACCCTACGAATGCTTGATCTACTGTCCAAGTGACCTGAAAGAGTAGATACGTCATTCTAGTATTATAATATTCTTCATTAGTGGTTTTTTATAAGTCAAAAGATACTTTACCAAAGAATAAGCTAAATATGACTACGCTCATTTCTGTCGACAGTAAGAAGAATCGCACTGTCACCCAAAGCACTTTGTCTGCTTTTCCACCAACCGATGCTGCTGCATTAACTGTCATTGACACTGCGCACCGTATCACTGAGATTACTATGTTACATAGAACAAGGCCATAAAAGGCTAAAAATATTGGACTGCTGGTAGCTCTTAATTTAAGCCTAGCTCTATTAAACCGCACCGCAATAAATAAGAGAAATAAGAGATTCGGAATTAATATTACCACGTCCCATATTCGTACTCTGTAATTATAAGAATAAATATTAGATTCCTATAAATTATAATGACAGATCCATGACGTATACCTTGAGTCCTTTATTTCTTTGTATAGTATGAGTTTGCAAAAGTGTTCATTGTCATCCGTTGCGGTAGTCAGAGCCAACTCTACCCGCCAGGGTTCAGATACCGTTTCCAGTTCTCCGTCCCCATACATCCTGTGTTCTTATTTGCTCCTTGAAGCTATACTTCAAACCATTTCCTTCTGATTCACTGTGATAGAAGCAGAGAAAGCATTCATTATTACATTCGGTGGGACTATACTAGCAAATTAAATCTTAAACTATTATATGATATATTACTAACAGTTCTTTTCAGTAATTTACATAAGGATCAGTTTACATAATAAATATCATCCAAAGCACAAGTAATCCAACAGTTTTAAAAGCATTCAGACCCCTAATAAACAAGTATATTATGCTCCTTGACTTTTAAGAACCACCATGAATTGCATGAAACCTGATAAATATAACCTCTAACTACATTCAATAGTGAAAAAATTTCTAGTAATGTTTACGGCCATTCCCATAATATACCATATATTCCTCAAGCAAGCTATAAAAACTTTCTCTTAACCAATATTGAAAAACAAACTTTTAAAAATTAAAAAAAATGATACCAGAGAAAATCGATAAAACACGGTCTATTATGGAGCTGTCAAGATACCAGACAAATAGTCCTGGGAAAAAAACAATCCTGCTCTCCTAACCAGTTTACGTTAATTGAATAAGGCTACAATGACTAATTGACTTACCCAACGCGAGGAAACTTTCATTTCAATGATCATAGATATTTACTGCATAATAATAATGAATCCGATTTGACGCACGAAAATCCTTTATCGCAAAGTATAAACCACACCAGATTCCACAACGTATCCCATATACGTGATTTCAACGTCCATTTCTCCCGTCTGCGTAGTAGACAGAATGCGGAATAGCAATTCTCTCAGAAATCTACTTGATTTTTGCCGTAACAATTTGTCTTACGATTAAAATAACGCCACGCGAAGTAACCCAGTACTGTGTACTTGACAGCGAGCAATATTATTCCCCCGCGTAATCCCTTCGACTGCATTACCGAATTTATCCTGATTCTTATTTTTTTTCTCGTGTCAATCGTTCATTCTGTGAACCAACGGAACCAACAGCCAGACGACTAGACTACGTACGTGATATTATAGGGAACAGTGACAGGTGACGCCACACTCTTGGGACAATCAAGTATTGTGTAGGCCTAAAGTAAGTACACCTCCTTGAACGACGTCCTCAACAAAGGAGGTCAAAATTCATTTATTAAGATATACTATAGTAATTTATTGAGGTAATTTAGCTTTGTATTACCTTTAACGATGTCAAAACAAAAGATAACTAGGGAAGCTCGTGTCATCTGGTTTAATGGCGGGAATGTTATTTTCTTTTGAATTTCGAAAGTACTTTCTGTACTCGCTTAGCATTACGTACGAGGATTTCCAGTTATGGCAATTCTTATAAACAATTAAGTGTACCAGTTTTATTTGCGGAGAATTGGGTAATGAATTTTTGCATATGAATTTATGTTATACTTTTTTTGCAGGGCTTTGCGTGTACTAATCATTGTACTCTTATGCCTTTTTACGTACCAATCGTGTCTCTATGAATGCACGTATAGTGGAAGGACAATATAAGATGAGTAATGACTATTCCATGAGTTTACTAAAAAATGTTCATAAGGATTTACCGCTTCCTGAACCCGGTGAAACATTTTTAGTGCGTGGGGATTATGAATACTGGCATTATGGTTGCGATGGTTTCAACGATAAGGTAGGGTGAACAATGTTGTTGGTTTAATCTAGTTGAGAAAATGTTACTTTGGTTTTACATTTAACTATAAGTTTACCGCCGGGTTCACTTACCTGGTGTTTTTGAAACGACGGTCACGAGAAAACTGAATCGAATAACCCCGGTAGACTACCATGCTTGGCAGAGCATGATTCCTTACTTGCATGCACAATGTATTTTAATTAATGGAACGATATTCTCGAGCGGATCTAATTGTTTGCTGCGCTTTAAAGCAACCGTTAAACGGCCTGGTTAGTTGCCTGTATAAAACCGTTTATCTCATTTTAGGGTTGGGGTTGTGGGTATCGAACATTACAAACTATTTGCTCGTGGATTAAGGATACTCTAACATCGAATGCACCAGTTCCTAATCTGAGATCTATACAAGAGATACTTGTAGCATTGGAAGATAAAGACAAATCTTTTATAGGATCAAGAGAGTGGATTGGAAGTTTTGAAGTAATAGTTATTAAATATTTAGTTATGCTTCTTTCATCATAGTTTAGTGAATGTAAAATTAATTTGCGTAGAGCAATTTCAATACCTTTAGTATTTTATTTACAGGTTTGTCTAGTTTTGGATTATCGGTATGATGTTGTTAGTAAAATTATTCATATACCAAATGGCAAGGACTTAATACAGTATATAGATAAACTAAAAAAGCACTTTGAAGATTTTGCAAGTCCAATAATGATGGGTGGAGATAAAGATTGTTCCAGTAAAGGAATAATGGGGATTCATATAGGTTCCAATGGGAATGCCTACCTTTTAGTTGTAGATCCTCATTTTATAGGTAAAGCCAAAGGTATCAACCACTTGCAGAGCGAACACTGGATTAAATGGCAACACTTCTCAGATTTTGTCAATAGTTCTTTCTATAATTTTTGTTTACCACAAGTCCAAGCAAGGAAACAGCACGAGGGACACAGTACTACTGGTTGAAATGCGTTATTTGATTCTCATTGTTTAAAATAAACAAGAAAGACACGATTTCCCAATTTTTATCAATGACTTGTTATTGATCAGTATCTCGCTTCTATATTTACTTCACATAAACGTATACACTAACTTATCTCTCGATTCATTGTCATTCCAAATAAATATGAGAGGCACACTATTGCAAATATTTATAAATACACCTGATACCATTTTCTATTGTCTAATTAATCCGTATTTAAGGCTAGACATACTCCTTGAAGTACCCACAATGAAATGTGTTCCATAGTACCAAGATCTGCTTCAAATACTAAACCAACCCCCATAGCATTTCGTCTATTGGAAGTTGTATATACTGGAGTCTTTATTGTATTCTACAAATCCAGATAAAAAATTAATCAAAATAATTCCGTAAAAAAAACATATACCTCTTACCTGAAGTTTCAGTCTGTGAGCTTCTATGGGAATTACTGTCAGCACTGGTAATTCCTCTATAAGAATTTTTGAGTAAGAACGTTTTAGACAATGATCTTCCATATCCCATCGAGCACCTTCTAAATATAATCCTTGTACGTAACAACCCTGTTGAATAGATAAATAAAATGTGAACAATGTATTCGTTATTTAACACAGTTTGAGATTTGTAGTTTTATTATCATCTACCTGATCAGGTCTTTCCTCCACTTCATCTGCTTTCGCATACTTAGATACTGCAGTGTAAGTTAATGAGCGGTCCAATGGCCAATTATTTTTGCGACATGCCATCTGTACCAGTGCAGCTAAATATGTTTCTGGTATATGCAAACCAGATAACCAGATAACTACTGGTTCATTACATCCTGACTAAAAATATTATCTTCCATAGATATGGGATTTAGAAAAATATTTGGAAGTCATAGTCTTACCCAGTTAGTGTATTGCGCTATTCGTTTCTCAAAATGATCCATCCAACCAGCTAAGTTTTTCCTGGTGTCCGGTGCTAATTTTGACCATTCCTTTGGTAGAACACCATTGTATAGTGCCACTGATACGTTGTCAAGTACTGCATCCATTCCAATCTCACCTGCAATGGCCTAGTAGGATATTTAATCAATTATATATTCTATTAATAAGTTTAGTACTTCACATTTGATTTACCTTTCTCAATTGCGTGAGAGTGACTGCCATTCTTTTTATCAATTTGTTAAACCGTTCCAATTCTTGAAAGAGAACTATTGATGACGGCGTTACAGCCAACCCAAAATTTCTCTTGACTTTAATCATGTCATATACTGGTGGAATTTTTACCAAGACGTCCTTGGCGACGTTATCGATAAAATCATCCCTGCTGATTCCCGTAGCGCTTACCGCTGTGAATATAATTATCGGTTAATTTAAAATTGTAAGATTTGTTTTCACAGATCTACAACAATGAATTTAAAGATAATATAATTCAACCTAAGTGGATATTTACAACTTACTGACTTTTTCCAAGCAGGCTATAATTATTTGCATTGTTGAAGTAATCTTATGGGTACTTTATTTTTACTTTAATTAGTATCATTATGAAAAAAAAAAATACTTTCATTTATATTCTTACCCGTTTGTGGCTGCAACTCAATAAGATTTGTCCACATCTCTTTAGTCGCATTAGTGAAATAACCAATCTCAGCGTTGGGATGAAGACCAAAGACTTCTGGTGAGTTCACCAGAGGAAGTTCCTCGACGAACTGGATATAAGAGTCACGGTCACCTTCCATTGGTATCACATAGTCCACGTGATCATCATGATAAAAATGGAACGGTTGAAAAGTATCAAAAAGGAAATCTCCAAAGTATTCATCCATGTAAATCTTGACAACACGACGATCAAAATTGTCTATGACTCTTCCGCCGTACATTACCTTCAATATTTCAGAAGTTATACATAACACGTGTTACAATTATTGTCATTCCGTAGACTTACTTCTCCTATCAAATATTTCAGACTGTTCCAAGGTATTCTAGTCTCTTTGATAGACATAGCTTTGGTTAAGTAGGTATCCAAAATAGTAGTGCACACATTGAAATCAGATTCGTTGAAGTCGTAGTTTATGTTCCATCCAATTTTGTCGTACTTCCTTCGTTCCTGTTAGAGAAATAAGATATTTCAAGTGTTATTATTAATTTTATAACGAAGTTCCTAGACTTCACTTACCTGAACCACAGCATGGAAAAAAGCCAAAACATAGATCAGATGTTTAAAGATGGGATGCGAACAACTTTCCAGTGTTTGTTCTCGCATTTTAAAGTACGTATTACGTAGATTTAATTTCAGTCCATTAGGAGGTTCAGTGACAACTAAAAAAGAAATTGAACATGGTGAAAAATAAAGGAAGAATAGTTTCAAGTCTACTCTCCATACCTTTTAGTGATTGCTGAAGTATTCCTATGGGGAAGCTAGGCGTGGGGTCTGTGGTTAACCACAGACGAAAATCTGGATGTGGTTTTCCTATGTTTTCTAATCTCTTTTCTAATTCCTTAATAAAGCCCAGCAAAAGATGACAGTTTTGTAGCATAAGCCACTGGCCCCTGGCAACGGCAGTTTCCAGCAGTTCAATGGCAGTCTAAATAATAATATAAAAAGTGATAAGATATCAATTCTCATTCGATGTATATTAATGTTATTACCTTTTCTTGACCTTGACCCAGCGACAAGTATCTGAACTTCCCACCTCCACAACCATATCGCTCGGCAAGCTTCATCAATTCTGAAGTGGGGTCTGAACCAGGACTCAGGATGAATACAACGGGCATGGTGGGTGTACTCTGTTCGTAGATGGCATCGAAGCTAACATTAGGTGGAGTGATAAATTCTTCACCCATTGTTTCGCTGATGTAATTAACAACACCGCGATAAACACGATCAACGCGGAAGCAGCGCATCAACATCAGCTTCTCGAAAGGTTGTAGATTCTGCGAATAGTCGCAGGGATATTCTTCAGATTCTGGACAATCCATGTCATACCACTAAAAATATATATATAAAATTAATATATACATAGAAGTATATAAATGGTGGTACATTTTTTATACTGATAAATTGTATAGCTTTGGTCAACCAACCTGCTTCCATAGTTCAATTTCATTATGAAGTAGATCAGGAAGTTTGGCAAACGTCAAAAAATCATTGGAAAGCTTGAGAATGTCTTCCCATCCACTAGATGGAAGCCATCGCGCAGGATTGACTTTCTGTGCCTTCTCCAAGGAAACGTTACCCTTGATGAAAAAATCCAATTGAGTCTGATCCACATTGCCTATGCTTTGCTCGATCCTGGTGCATATTTGGAAAGAGTAGAGGAGTTTGTGTTTCTCGAATATTCCGGTGCAACCATAATCATAAATATTCTTGGTCAACATAGTTATGATATTTTTAAGACGTTTCATTAAGGAGGGATCAGGCAAGGCCTTCTTCAGGGAGTGAATGAATATCTCCAGGTAGCTAATCAAGGAGTATTGATACATTGTGTTCACAGTGGCCATGTCCGCCAGGACGAAAAACAGAATAGCACCACGTTTTGCTGCTGGCCTATAACCGTCTCTCAACTTATTGATATCAACTGCTGTCAGTTCTGCTAGATGCAATTTCATCATGACTTCACTGGCACTTGACTTGGTGTTTTCCAGGGTTTCAATCAAGTCAATGTTATCCAGCATATTACCCTGATTTGTTGCGATTTCACGTAAAAGACTGTCTTCGAGCTGTTGAAGAAGACTTTTGTTGGCACTCGTTTCAGCAATCAAATTTTCCCGTTGTTCTTCAACATCCGGTCGTTCTGTTCTCACTACTACGGACAACAGTTGATCTTCCAGGCCCTGAAAATAAAGATTAGACAACCATTAGAAAAGCATTTCATGTATTTTGTAATATTAAGAAAACATTACTTACTGTTAAGGTGACCATATAGTTTATAACTGCCGCCTTGGCATAAACAGCTGGATTGAAAATTGGATTGGACAATTTGGTTGTTAAATACATTCGAAATCTTTCATCGTAATCGACTTCCTTGTCACCCAAAACCACAAATGTGCGACCTGACACAGCTGGGATAAAAAAATAAACATTAGAAATAATAAACGTAGCTAACGCTCGTACATACTTTTTATATTTTTTGCGAGTACGTTATCCAGAACAGGATCTATGTAATCAACATCCTGAAAGAGTACTGGAAAACCATACGTAATGGCCATCTCAACTTGCTTGATGAAATCGGGATCATTAAATGTCAAGATCTTCAGATTCTTCTTAGCTTCTCGTTTCTTTATCCAATTTAAAGCTTGTTGCTGAGGATCAATGCACAGTGGAAATCTTGAAGCTCTCATAGTGAGAATTCCATTTTGTACTGACAATTCATCTGGTGGTAGACCTTCTGAATTCCACCTAGAATTAAAAAAATTATTAACAACTTTAGTTACTTATGTCCTAAAGAATTTTCTGTTCCTCGTATAAAAAGTACTCACCCACTGATCTCCACATCATTACTTAATTGTGTCTCTAATTTATATGGTTGACTAAGTGGAATCTGCCTTTTAAGTATACTGTTCTGCCAATCATTATAGATCATTTCTATACGAAATTCGTAAGAGAATGGTCCATCGTAAGAAAGAAAGCCAGCAGAAAGAAGACAATTTCCAATGATCTTTTCCATTTCTTCGTGAAGATTTTCAAGGTCCTTTTGCCAGCGCGTATTCTCAGACGATAATCCGCCAATCAGTTTATCAGCTGCAATCAATCTTCTCTGAAGGATGTCAGTTTCTTCTTGTAATCTTTGTCTCTCAGACATGGCAACGTCATATTTTGCATTTAACTCAGCTAATTGCTTCTCTATACGATGTAACTCATGTTCTTCTTTCTCCAGTGCCTTTTTCGCGCGTTCTGCTTCAGCCTCCAAAGCCTGAACTTTATCTATCTTCGGCTTCACCTAAGCCAATCGAATGACAGAGATTGCAATGGACAATTGAATGTCAGGAAAAGATAAGTTGTAATCCCGTACTTCTCTATAGACGGCACAGTAATCCAGAACAGCAAGCACGAATTTATAAAGTCCGTATCCTGCCCTACTGATGGTTTTCATCTGTTCAAGTTTATTTGATTTCTTCAAATGGGCTTTGACCATCTGCTGCTGCTTCAATGTTATCAGGTCGCAGTTCATCTCCTGAAGTAACCTCAGAAAACTGGGATCGCTCATCATCCCCTTGGCACTCTTCCAGGATATTTCCTTGGCGCCTCTGATTATAGCTATACATTCACAGACAATCTGCACAGGTTCCGGTGGCGTGGCAAATGATCTGTTGATAAGAATACAAATTGTGATTAAATTTTCTAATTCACCATTGAAATATAATTGTTCAAAATATGATATACAGACCTTATTTCAGTGATATCTGATTTTTCCAAGTCACTCAGAGCTAATCTAGCCATTTCTAAGGCCGGTTGAGCATCAGCAAGTGCATCCTTAGCTTCAGCCTCTTCCTTGGCAATAATCTTGTTCTGTTCCTCAATTTCTTTTCTCTTTTCCATGCTCATCTCCTTCTTTTCCATTGCAATATCTGTACTTTCGCCTATTGACGTTAACAATAGCTCACAGTTTTTGGTTTGTTCCGATACTTTAACTCTCTGAACAGCCAGGATGGCATTCAGATCTTTAAGTGTTTCTGAAGCTTCGGCTATCTTTGTAAGACCTGAATAGATTAAAATTATTGGTTCAGTTAATTGTATTCCGTTAATTTTATAATTTCCACGAAAGGTACCATCCGGACTATACCTCCTGAGAGTCTTTCGCATTGGGACTCTATATATTCTTTCTTCTCCACCAAGAGGTTCAGATATGTGTCGATGAAGTCCAAGTAGTGTTTGGGAGTGACGTAGTTCCTCCTCCTTAGTTTAATTAGAAAATCTGACGTATACTCCCCAATAGAAACGTGCACGTGCACTACGTGCTGCACAATGGCTTCTCTATGGACTTCAGGAATATTTTGATTCTGATAGACACAACGATTGTTAAAACAAGACCATCGCTTCAATTGCAAAAAGGGAAATTGTCCCCCAATAAAGTATTCATACATCTCTAAGAATAACATTGGCAACAGCAAACAGAGCTTGTTCAGGCCAAGGGAACATCCAGTCTATAGTAGTACTGTTAACCAGCCCTGGATAACTTCTGCATCGTGATCTGAGTATATCACCAGCGGGACTCATAGATAGCGCGATACGCATGTTCCCAATGCTTGTCTTAACGAAATAAGACCAAACGTTTTCTCTGAAACATACAAAAAGTATATATTTAAACGATCATTTATATCACTACTTCACGAAATCAAGTACATACTTAGTGATACCATAACCAGCTTCCTTGGCTCTGTTTCTACAAGTATTTATAACAGCATCTTTCTCCTCGTCAGAGAAGAGCGCTGGTACAACGCCTGTCATCAACATATTGTTGACTAATTCCAAAAAACTTTCATCTGCAACGTGAGAAGCCGTGAACAAGAAGACGATCCTCTTGTCCTCGACTCCAACCATATTGAACAGCTTCTTTGCATCCTCCCGGAAGCTAGACTCATTGTAACCTCTTGTTAAGGTAATCTCAAATGTTTCACAGTTGGCAGCAAATGCGGCTAAACGAATTACGCTTTGTTTTCCGCTACCACCAATACCAACTACCAACACGTGACCCCGGTGCATTCTCAGAGCACGATGCACCCTGGTCAAATGCTCCAGAGCATCGTTGAATAGGACCATATTGATTTTCATGTTCCTCTCGTTGTATTCTTCTAGGATCTATTAAAATATGTAGTTTTTAATTTTTCGTTAATGATTTAAATTGATTTCATTGACGGACCTCCATGAAGAGACTGTAGACGGCTTCGTAATCGAGAAGATCTTCATAGTATCGAGGTTCCTCTTCGTTACAGGCATTTCTGTAGTCTCCAAAGAGTAGAGGATCACGTAATACGTAGTCAATGACTTCAGGATTGTCTTCGTATAAGCTTTCTATCTTTGCCTCCAGGTGAGACTTCATAATCTCCTTGTCCTGCAATAATAAACATTGGTTTTATAGATTTTAGATTTCTTTTGAGAAGTTCTCTCATTTATTCATCGTCCGAGTTACTTCTGCAGTGATAAGGCGATCACAGATCACTCGAGTGAACTCATTCCTCCATAGTCGTGAAAATTGTTGGACCATTGGAAAGTAGCTCTGATGACTTTGCAGAAGACCAGCAGTTATGCGCGACAGATCACGCATGTTGAAGACGTAGTGAAATTTCGATGGTGTTGGGGGTAATTCCGTGGTGGCACACTATTGACATTTTTAAAAATACAAATCATTCAAGATCTTTGAAATTAAAGCACAAACGAGAGATGAAGGATTGAAATACCTTGTAAAGATCTAAGGTGATTTGAATGATATCATCCACTAATTCTTGAACTTCCTCGGGAAATATTTCCAGATGTCCCTTTAGGATACTCGTGTAGATGTACTTCAGGGTTATTTCAGATGGAAACGTAACGTTGTAGACAGAAAATATGGAGACAAATCTAGGATCCATTTCGTTTCTTCCACCACCAGCTTTTCCCATGGCTGCCAAGTAGCCTGAAACATTAATTCGATACCGTTATATTAATAGATAGCTCGTAAAACATTTATTCTCCAGAGTAATAAATTATTTACAAATATCTCTCATTTGCTTCCAGTTAAGATCCTTCCCACGATCATAGAATCCATTACGCTCTAGTAGCAGTTTCAATAGCGCAATAGGTTGTTGAGTACCATAAGTATCGACTAGTGGCATATTCATGTCGTCTATAAAGATAATAAGCTTTTTTCCAGGAGGTGGACCAAAAATGTCCTTGGTTCTTTTTTCAACGGCTGATTCAATATTTCTCTGTACGTCCATTGACGTAGTTCTCGATGAGAAATTGATTAACAGTTGATTCTGCAAGACACAACAGTAATGATTTTCCTAGTTCTTGAAGAAGTAATGTGTAATCTTGAGACTCACATATTTATTCTGATCAAGACTTCTAAGAAAATCTTGTATTATTGCTGTTTTCGATGTTCCTGTCTCACCGACAAGTAGCACAGGTTTTTTCATATCATTCATTAGTTTAACGAACCACATTGTTCTTAGTGTATCAATCGTAGGTACTAGAATCTCACTGAAGTTCTTGGATCTGTCATGTATATAAGATGGTACCAAAAACTTCCAGGGTGTCCAAATTTTTTTATCGACCTCCAGAACGTAGTCATACAGGGAACGATAAGTTATAGGAATATATCCTGGATTGATAAATAGAAATCATTACAGTTTCAATTAAATAATTGATGAGTAATGAGTTTTGTATTATCATTTGCTTATACTGGTTGTTGCTGGTTTTTCTGGAGTATCCTCCACCATCATCAATCCTGAGGTCTTCTTCATGAATTCATCAAATTCATTCCTGGCTTCCACTACTAAGGCTGCACCCAGTGAACAATAACAAGCTTGTATATAAACGGCCTCCAAAACTTCATCCCTGTTGGCCAATTTTTCAGCCCAAAATGCTTCTTCTTCATGATTTGGTAATTCTCCAAGTTGTCTCTGAGGAGGTTCATCTTCTGGTCGACTAGGATAGAGGGCGTCTACCATGTGACAGAGTTGAACAACCTGGTTGATATTAATATTTTTATATTTACTTATTTAATTTGTTGCTTTGTTTATGAGTGATTCTTAATGTCTATTGGTTACCATATTGAGACCAGTTTGAGGAATAATCATTTTCAATGGCTTAACTTGCTGAAGACCTAACATTCCGTCAATAATGAGTTTTAACGTGGTATTTACATATTTTTCACACATTCCATTAAAGAATTCATGCTCCGATTTGCATCTGCTTCGAATCCATTTGTCCATATATGGTTGATAGCCTAGATTCTTTGGATCTACATAAACCATACCAGCTCTAGATACTGTAGCTGGTGAAGCATATTGTAAATCACCAACCTGCGTACGCATTAAGACGCATGTAATGGCTATTACATTGCACTAATTATTTAAATAGTAGAACAAGAATTTGGAATATTTGTAACCTCGAACAATAAACTACAATGATTCTGCATCTTGATCCGCTCTTGATTGGCCAGTGTTAACAATTTATTGTCATCCATTACAGAATTCATATTTTCAATCCACAAGGCATCGACATCCCCGTCAAATAAAATATATTTCCTTTCCTGTTTGCCAGATTCCAAAGGCCTATTGATCTCACGAAAAATATTACTCAAGAGACCATCAGTCCAATCACGAGTTAAGGGATCCAGTATACCATAAAGTTCCACCACCGTACAGGCCTTTTTAAAAAAATCCATATTTTCAAGAAATTCTCAATATTCTATATCGATATTTACCTTGGGATTCATGATGTAAAGTTTTGTTGGGTTGTCCAGATAAGTTTGAGCCCTGCACAGCGTTTCAATAACAACCGTTTTGCCTCCGCCTGTTGGTCCCACAATCATTGTTGAGTGTCTTGTCATCATGATTTCATATAGTTGAATAACTTTGTCAACCTGTCGAATAAAGTATAGCGTTAATTTATGCTTATGCTTTAAAATTAATACTTTGTTCAAACTAACTCTTACCTGATCAGGTAAAACAATGTAATCGTGCTGCCGGAGCATCTTCTCCACAGCATCATTAAAGTTTGGATAGCCAACCCGGGGACAATCTAGGCCAGGAAAGAGATCCTTGATGAGTCCCAGGAAGAGAGGTACGTCGTCGAATATGAATTTCGGTAGATTCATATCCCTCAAGGCTCTCATCAGCACTACGTTCTCAGGAAGGTCACTGGAAGTTCTCTTCAGCTGACCAGCCATATTTAAAACAGACTTCAGTGCTCTAAGACCAAAGTCATAATGCGTCTGCTTGCTAAGCTGCTCTCGCGCTAAGATATACAAGACAGTCATCTTCTTAGCCAGGATTTTGGCAGTGAGGAAACCGGCGCTGAATAATTTGATCAGGCAGATCATCTCGTTGTCAGGTACTATGCACACTACTGGCCTGAAGAGTGCCTTCACAGATTCCGGAAGTTCGGTCCTTCCTGCATATCCTGGATTCATGGTGATGAATATGCCAACCTTACTGTCCATGACTAAATCTTGTCCTTCGAACTACAATAAATCGGAATATTATGAAATTTAAAATTAAATCTCACTCATTAATAAAACAACTTTTGTACCATGAATCTCTTGGCTTTCAATTGCAATGCTGATCTTATAGTCTGAAGTTGAGTGGAGATTACGGAGAGGACTGATATGTCAATTCTGTTGAACTCATCGAAGCAACCCCAGGCACCACATTGGGCAAGACCACTAAGTGTTTTACCAATGGCTACGTAATCCATTCCTTCTCCACAATTTGTCACAACACAAAGAAGTCCTAGAGCTTTTGCTAGATCCTTCGTAGTCTCAGTTTTCCCAGTACCAGCAGGGCCTAATAAAATAGATTAATTACATCAGGGGTGTTCATATAATTGGGGATTTTCAAAATATTAACTCACCTGCAGGTGCACCACCCAAGTGCATAGACAGTGCTTGGGTTATAGTAAGATAAATTCTATCTGTCAATGGTGTTACAACTAGACGTCCATTGAGTCCCATGTACTCATATCCATACTCGAAAGTGCCTGTACACTGATTCATCCAAACATTGTCTAGGTCATGGACCCAATAGAATCTATATGGATGATTTGAAAATAATTATTTTTAATCTGTCATTTTTTCAAAATACTAGAATTTACCTCAGCTGACTCTCCCAATCAAATTCCATGGCGTCCATTATACTGTCTCGGACAAATCCATCAATAATATCTCTAATGTGAACATCTATTGTTAAAACAGTATCTAATTTTTTTCTATCGTTATTAGAAAGTGTATCGCCACCCATCAAGGTAACAACTTCATCCAATTGGTTGTTCAGTTGTTGTAAATACTATAGACATAATTGTTCATAAGTGGCACCATACGGAATAATAGGGTGATATTGCTTACCTCTTTCATAGCTCGTTTTTTTCCTTGAGATATTTTTTTGAAAACGTTCTCCACTTCAGCAGTCCACCAAATTTGATTAGCTGCCAGGACCATCATCCCCTGAAAGTCTAACATCCACTCGGTCCTTGGTCTCCGGACCTAAAATATTTTTTTCTACAATAAATGTAAGGAGTATGCGATACCAACAATGACTCTTACTTTTCCATAATCATAAACTGCCTTTTTTGTCAAATATCTGTTCGACTTTCGCATTTCTGCCAACGCAAGTACCATCCATTCTTCAATTTTACCTTCGGTAAGGACAGGGTTGCGAAATTCCATGATTTCACGCTCATACGATATAAAAGCCGAGGCTACAATCCTGTCCTGATTATCAGGACCAAGTCTGAATTTATCTAGGTTGTCGAACATTTTCCCAATATGTTCTTGTATAGCTGCTGGATCGGTACTTCCCAGAATTCCAAGGAGTTCCTCATCACTAATGAAATTAAATCTTGGAAATATCGCTCTTTTGTTGTTTAAGTATTCTGTTAGAGATTTCTGGCATTTGTCCAGGCCTGCACTGAGACTTTCGAATTCCTCCTTTCGACCTGATGATAATACAGCGAACTGTAAGACCCAAAACCGAAGAAATATTTATAAAACATACCCAAAACTGTACAGCATTCTAAAACATTAAGTCGCTTAGACGTGTCCATCATGGTCTTCTTGAAGATTTTATCAATATCATCAAACTTTCTGGCTTCTTCTGGTAGCTGGGCTCTAATATCGCCTCCCACGAAGATGCCCTCCAGGTAGAGCCACTTCCTTTGAAGTTCCATCCAAGCTTCGATCACCTCGGATATTGTTTGCATAGCCTTTTCCCATTTTTGTACTGTGCTCAGAAACGGCCCAATAAATTGGGACGCTGACATACTTTGTAGATTCATCATGTTATCTTCTAGGACCTGATTGAGTTCATCGACGGGGCCTAAGATGAAGCCACGGTCTTCGCTTCCTGAAATTATAATGTCTGTAATTTGATTTTTAAATTCTAATAGGTAAATAGACGCCGTACCTTTGAAATGTTTCACAACTGTTAATTCCATGGTTTTCCATACTTCTGCTATTTCTTTCACTGCTTTCTCGATTGCCAATTCCTTCACAGCATTGACTACAATAGACTCTGCGATGTCCTGATACTGTGCTAGGTCCATAGCAAACATATTCTCCAGTGTAAACCTTGTTAAGGATAAATGGCAGGTAATTTTGGGTTTTGGGACGATTAGTGAAAAAGAATTTACTGGTAAATTCTCACCCCTCCATTATTTTTGTTGTTTTTTACGCAGCACAAAGTTCACGTTAAAGTATTAGAAAAATAATGTTTATATCGTTTAACGGTTACTGAATGTCTTTTCAATTTCTAGAAAGGCAAATATTTCTAAAAAAAAATATTAAAAAAAAATCTTCCTCCTCCTATAGAATACACAGCATTTTTCATATCTTTCAATGTAATACTGCTTATCCTCGGAGGATTCAGAAAAGAAATTGGTTTTGCAAGGACTAATATATGTCACTAGATAAAGATAGACAGAAAATGTTACATAGGAAAATCGATACGTCTGCTTAAAAACTACATAAAGTCCCTAGATAAATGTTCTATTTCCCACATCGACTATCGGTTTCACGTTTTTATCACTAATAAGTCACTGTTAAAATCATTTAACTAATTCCCGAACCTGTTCGGGGACATATCAAAGTGTTTTCCAGTCTTGTCCATGAGTTCCATCCAGTGACGTTCCCTCATAGCTTCGTTCTTCAATTCCACAAACAGCGGAACCGAATTCTTGAAGCTCTTCATAATGGAGTCAAGGGCTTGACCGACGCTCAGCGTCCTGACAGCTTTGGGTAGCTTTCTAAACTCCTTAATGAACTGTTCCATCCCATCGATCAACTGTTGCGGATTTAAGTTGGCCCAAAGTGTCTTAGCCCAAACATCTCTAGCACTTCGTTGCATTTTATACAATTTATACAGCATCTCCATGCCTTCGTAATCCTTTTTCACTTTCAAGAGAATCGAATAGTCGGCAGGTGGCAGATCAAAAAGAATTTCTGCATTAACAAGATCTTGTCTGGTTGCTTCCATTTTATCCAGAAGCTTTCCATATTCCTATCAAACAACCAGATCAGACATTAGAAACTAAAAGTATAGGCAACCAGTCGGTAAAACTGTATTTTAAAGATTCTCACATCCATTTTCTTCAGTCCAGCATCCAGATCGTTACCAACACTACCTGGACCATTCATCTCAAAATCTTCGGCAAACTCATGAAACTCATGACTGAAGTCAGTAATCTGTTCTTTGGTCATCTCGCAGAAACGGTACTTGGTACTCTCTAAAGTAGTGGCTCTGTAAAGTGCCCCCATGTACAGGGAGTTCCAATCGTGCTCCAGTTTATAGGCCCTCTGTTCATCCTCTTTGTAGAACTCTATAGAATGTATTTGAAGTGTCCTGAAGATTTCCTACGAAAAAGAAAAAGTTCTAGAATGAACAGTAGCCAGCAGACTAAAAGAATTTGATGAATAATATTAACCTGGTATAGAGAATATTGTACTTCCGCCTGGATAGCCATTTTTTTGACATCGGCTATAGTCTGCATCACCAATTTAAATCTATCGAGGCCACTGATGACGAGCTCCACGTCGTTCCTAAATTCCTTGATCTTCGTCTCGAGTTCCTCCATTGACAGTAACGTATTAACCAGGAGGTAGCTACCTAATATCTGCTTCCATTCGTTGGCATGCTCCTGAATCCCCTGAAGCAATGGTGTCAGGTTCACTCTGCTCATATTGAAAATGATATTTTGAATGATATTTTTTTAAATATGAATTTGCATGATTGTATAACAAAATTGCTTTGTACTCGCCGGACACTACAGATGTCATGATATGGTTTCATCTCCTGAACTTGCTCAATTATTGCATCATAGAAAGCAAATTTTTCATCAAATTGTAAGAGCGTTGGATTTTTCGCAGCGAATTTTTCGCAATATTGAGTCTTATCGAAACACCAAAGGTTGCCATACTTTTTCCATTTGTATAAATATCGCCAGCAGTCTATCGCCAATCTGTGCGTTGTGTCTTGGACAGTGATGATGAGATCATTGACTATCTGAAAGTTTCGATACAATATATTGAATCGTTATATGCTATTTTGTAACCCTGTTATTTTGGAAAAAAAATATTTTTTACTCGCCTGAATGCTCATGATGTCCTCGAAGAAACTGAATGTTGCATGTTCCTCTGTTTGCTCACGTTTTATTGGCTTGCATTCTAAGCACGTATTTGTCATCCATCTTGGAAACACTTTCATCCGTTCTAAAAGATCTTTAACGTCGTGCAAAATGATTGTATAGATTTCATTAGGAGATGGTCGTAGTACAACTTCAGAGGTTACCAAAACAGCATCCACCTGAAACACAGCTTTGTTGCCTGAAAGCATCTTGTTCAGAACTTCCAGATTTCTCACAAAGCACCTACAAGTCATGAAATTAAATATACAGAAAAGAATATTTGAACGCGGAAATATATCACTAGGAAACCATAGTGACTCACGTTATGAAAGCTGTGAAGATTTTTTGTTCATATTCTTCATAATACGCCAGCATTGATGAAGCCATTCCGGTTGATGTTCCCTCCACGAGGTTCTCCAGTTTTATTAACATTGGACTGGCGGATTGATAAGATTTTAACATGGCACAGACCAACTCATTTCTCTTGGATTCAACGTCCAGGAAAAAAGTCTTAACGTTGCAAAAAAATTATTAATCTAATGATTTATGAAATTATTTTTAGTAATATGTTACCTTGCATCCACTAAATGTGTAAAGTGGATCATTTGGATCCTCCGTGCTTGTGAACAAGTTGAAAGACTCTAGATCAGCTTCAATACGATTGTTTAGGTCATTCTTCAACTGTTCAACTTGAACGACCATTGAAACGAGACTCTTTAATAGCTTTCCACAATTTGTGGCATATTCAACAATTCCTAAGGAGTACCAATTGAACCGCGTAATTCCAGGTTTTATATGTTTTTCAATATTCAACAAGGTATTCTTCAACAGTAAAATCTAAAAGTGCGTTCAAGGACTTAGAATTAAATCGATAATGACTTTTTTTCTCTTACATCTGCACCATCAAGGTCATCTATAATAATATTGTATTGGTTAATCATTTCTTCAATTATTTCAATGTCATGTTGAAGACGATCTTTTTGTATTCCCACGTCTCGTATTGCATCTGGTAACTCAAAACCCAGTTGTTCCAGAAGTTCCGCCTGTATTATTTCAATTTATTTAAGAAGTGGATTGTGGTTGAATAATTTTTTTTTTTTTTATTACCTCTCGAATAATTTCGAAAATTTCCCATTTGAAATTCACTGCAAAACGAAGTTGATGTTCTACCAAAATTGTATCCTGCATCTCCTCCTTCCATGTTAAATTTTGTCCTAATCCTGGCGAATTTTCACTAGTAACAGACACAGATGATGGCCTTTGATCTTTATTTCCAGAACCTATTATTTTATCCAACTTTGCTCCTGGTTTCGCATGAATTTTGGACGGTAATACCGTGTTCATGATTTTTGGAGTAACTGAACCAGAACCAGTTGTGTCTGAGAGGTGGATAGAACAAAAAATCCTACATTCATAAAGATGTCTAGAAACTTTGAAGATATTTTAATGAAATTTATTTTTTTTTTTCAAAAACCTACCAAGACTTTGTTTGGATATAATAACTTCCGTCTTTTGACTAGAACCTGGAGGAGTTGTTTGGTATCCATCATTTAATTGCAACATAGTTCCACTTCTGGTTTTTCGAAGTTCCAGATACACTTTGGCTTGTGCTCGTTTATGAACTTGATCAACTGTGGAAAATTAATAAAACTTCAATTAGGGGTTTAAACACATTTAAATATAACACCTGCCTTTTTTTCGGTCATATACAACCGTCTTGAGTATACTTTTCTTCATGGTACATGCAACAGTGGATAGTGCTTTATCGACCCAGACCTTAAACTTTGTGTCTTCAAAATTTTTCAATTGCCTGGCTATCGACAAATACTGTTCAAAAGCCAGAAGCTTCAGTTCACTGCGTTTAAGCTCATTAACATTTTGAAATATAAGTACAGGTCCCTTTAGCCTGTGAAATAATTGTCTCTCCCAAAAAATAGCACCAGCAACAGGAGGATGGTACCGTAGCAATGGTGGATTTCGTTTTCCTGAAACATACTTTAGTAAAAATCTGAGTAAATATATTGTACAAATTATGAAAATACCTCTATTAAATATATTCTCTACTATCCCAATTTCCTTGCTGAACTGTTGCATAATGACATCAAACTTCTTCAACAGCTGTTCCTGAATAGCAGCTCTGGTTTTGAGATTTTTAAATTTTATCAGCATCTCCAGAGCGTCTTCTGCACTGATTAATACAGTGAAGCATTCATCGATGAAGAATTTCGCTTCATTTTCCAGAAAAGTCACCTCAGCATAGAACCAGGTCATCATGGCTTCCCAGTTCTCTTTGTTGAATTGAGTGAAGACATTGAAGTCAGCTTTCTGAATTGGTACAACCAGTTTAGCTACTCTCTTGATCACAGCATCTATTTGCGAAGGATCATTTATGATAGACTTCAGCTCAGCTCCGAAGATGTTGTAAAAGTCTTGAAGGACACTGCCAATCTTATTTAAGTCATCGCAGACTCCAGCTATATACTCAGTCTCTTTAAACAGTCTTCGCTGATCGAATTCCCATCTTGTTCCTTTTCCAGAAGTCTCTATACTCTGTCTGGTCTGGAGGTAAGCGATCTTCCAACTCCTCATCATCTTATGCGCATCCTCTGTTTTGTGTATCACAATGTTCAGAGGGTTCCTGAATATACATATTTATCAACCGTAACGCAAAACAGGAACTGAAGATTGTGGCAGGATTTAGATAATTTTCAATAAAGATTTTTTTCAATTGCACCAAAAAGAGCACAAATTACGAAAATGTCGATAAGACGTATTCTCAGAATCTTGTAGATTTCTCGTGTTAAAAATACGTCTTTCTCAGACATGAATTGTCTATAAGATATCAAGAAACGGAACCTGAGACTTTTTGAAGACGTCTTATCGACATCTTCGTAATTTCTGCTGTCTGGGAGTGATCACAATTTTCTATATATATATAGAATAGAATATCTAGAACATCTATACATGTATGTATATATATTTATAATACCGTACGTGAAGAGGGTGTTAACTGCCAAATTCTTAGTGACATTTTGACAGAGCTGCCAAGATATCCTTTCTAAGAATGGTACCATTTTCTCTTCGTTACCATAATATTTAGAAAGTACCCAGATCATTTTAATGTCTGTCATTAACGGCGGTATAATTTCAGTAATTGTTTTAAATGCATCCGATTCCGTAATGAGCTGTTTAAAAAAATCTAAATTAATTCAAGTTTAATTTTTGAAAAGACATCACTTACCTTGAAGTACCTCAACATGGTATACAGAAATTTATTATTGTCCCTGGCTTCGATGTAATGCCTTTGAAGTTCATTTTGGAAAAACGCAAAATCGGAAGCGATCACTGACTGAGCTTTATTCAAAACTGAGAGTATCCTCTTGACTGTGGAGGTTTTCAATTGTTCCACCAATATCGATAATCCAGTTTCTCGATCATGCCAATAATCGTATTCATCGATAGGTCCTTTGCCATGCGTTACCTTATTTGTATAAGATTCCACAATCTGCATCAAAATATTATTATTGCAGAAGAAAGTTATACATTTCCACGTTAATTTTTTTTTTTTTTAAGACTTGAATTATACCTTTTGAATATGCTTTCCCCAGGATATGACAACGTCTTCCAATTCCTGTATTGCCTTTTCATTAGCACAGATCATCTCATCTGTTACTTGTGGATCAAAAAGTTCAGGAATTTTAGGTATAACTAGTAAAATATCACCTTCGGTATGCTCCAAGGTCCTAAAAATCCATTTACACAGTTACGAAAAATATAATTTCTATATGATAATAATAATTTTAACATCTGTAAACAAACCACTCAACGCTGGCGGTTAATTTAAAGAGAAACTCCAAAATGTCACTTTTAGTTGGATCCAATTCCACTTCTGATTGGGCTTCCAAACGTTTCATATTAATATTAGACATAGATTTTGGTTCCGATACAGAGCTACCCTTGTGCTCATTAATTTTCTTATTCATGCTGAGCTTTCTACCAATGGCCGAAATCTGTCTCTTTAATTTGTCACTTTTCTTCCGTTCCTTCTCTTTGATCTTCTCCTTCGACTGTTCTGACGTTTCCCTCGCTAGTTTATCAACGTCCATTGTCTTTCTCTTAATAACCATCGACATGCGACGATAAACGGAAGGCTTTGTGAACGCTGCAGTCTGATCAACAGGGCATAATTGATTAACAATTATCAATTCGACTAACATAAATATCTTCAGTATCGTCCTGAGAATTTACCGAACTGGTTTGTCTGCTTCTGCTCTTTCTCATTTCGCTGTCGATCGATAACTCAAGTTTTAAATTTTCATTTTTCACATCTTGTAGTTCACCTGCAGGCTCTCTGAATTGTCTTTCCACGAGAGGTTTGAAGACCTAAAAAAAAAAGTGATAGAACAGCAAAATATCATTTTCGCACACGAACACGCTACAGTAGTAGGTATTAAATTTTAATAGAAAATAAAAATTTGTAATTAAATAGTTAACCCATCTTGACCACACTTACTTGCGTAAGCATCTTGTTGAAGGAAGACAGAAATTTTCCATTTATGGATCCTACCATCAAATAGTCTGTAATTTCTGCATGGCATTCCTGGTACGTGTCGAATGGTGGTATTCCTTCGTCACTAGATCTTAAGAAGTACACTAGATTGACATTCTGCAAGTCTGTCCTGTTTCCGTCAAGGGCACCACATATCATATGAAGATCTGCCACTTGTATAACACGGTCGACCATTTTCTAATAAATAATTAACAGATGATAACATGTATTAATTTTTTTAAATATTTTTTCCTTTACCTTGGTAAGAATGTATTTGTCCTCTTCGCCCGGTGGGGGGACAAAAGGCATTGAGCCCACTTTAAAAGAAAGAATAATTTACTACTATAATTATTTTCTAACTACGAAAAATTCATGCATCATTTCGATCAGTAATCATTACTCGTGGTGACCTTAATTAGAATAAAAATTGCTTCAGTGTCTCTTACAGGATACCGTGCTCTTCGTCTTTTTCTTCGTTTCCGTTAAAGACTCCTCGCCCCCATCTTCCTCTTCCTCGTCATCGTCGAATCTCTCGCTAATTTCTCTCGAAGATGATATTTGACTAGTCGAGAGAGCCATTGTTGAACTCATTGTATTCGTAATGCCTGTACTGACGCTACCGTCGCGCTTCTCCAATTTCCCTTTTCCCTTTTTCCCTTTCTTTGGCTTCTTCTCTTTTTTCTCTTCTTCGACCACTTTTTCGACCTTTCCTGATAAAATTTTTTAAAATAATCAGTCGCGTAAATACTTGTGACTGTGTTGTCACATTTTACGTAAGATAAGGTGCATTTGTGAATTATTAATAAAATATTATCAATCATGAAATTGGTGCGTTGTGTAAGATATTTAATGTATGTCTCTTTCAAAACATATCGTTCATCCTGTGCGAAATCTATTAACCATTTTTTTTTCAAACGTGATAAATCAAAGATTTTTTTCAAAAATAATTTTCTCTTTCTTTCCCATTTACCAGGTGCGCTCTTGGTCAACCGTTGTGACTTGACTTTGGATGCGAAGGCTGTGACTGCTGTGATTTTTGTACGTTGGCCTGTGTTTTATTTTATTATTAATATCATTGATTTAATAAGTAATGAAAATTTATTTTTATCGGTAGCGCTCGTCATTCATTCTTCATTATTTCATCGCCAACATTAACATTTCCGTTTATGTCACTTAATATTTGCTATGTACGACAAAAAGAAACGTAATACTCACTCTCTTCCCAAACTGCAATTTCTTCCTGAATAACTTCACTGTGATAAGTCTTGTAAAAGAAGACCTGCTTCTTTTCAAGATCGACTATGCCGTAAAGATCCAAAACCAACAAGTTCAGTAACTTATCCTCAAAGTAGCGATGATTGTCCTGTTAAGACGAAAATTTCGAAAGATACAAGGAGAAATTTCAAAGATAAGTAATATTTTGAAAAGTTTATCAGAGAGCCACAGTCAAGTGTAAATAAAATATCTATGTATATACGTTTATCAAGTTGTCAAAAAGTCGATGCTGTCCATGAAGTCCCAGGAATTTCAGGACTTTCTCTCGAATCCACATTATTCTAGGAAATGAAAAGAATATTTTTGTTGTATTAATTATTTCATTGATTAAGTAACATGATTTATTAGACGCACCGATAATCTAGTGTCAACGATGGCCTGTGACTGTCACTACGTACACCATCGTCATCTTCTGGTTCCTCTTCGATATTTTCAGAATCATGAACCGAATCCTCCATTTTTAATTATTATCTTAAACGTTACAAAGTCAAAATATCTTTGAACAGTTAATGATATAATGTTTTATAACCCTTTTTTGAATACGAATTGTTATTTTTAAAATATCACATTTCTTATTCAGTAATTGATTTCTTATTCGAGCACTATACTGTTCAATAAGTCTTTAATTAATTCCCTAATTAGTCAACTAACGTACCTGCCAATAGATTGAAACCTGTTCTTGGTTTTATCTAAAGAACCTTACAAAAAAAGAATTGACTTGACGTTGCCAGGCTAACTTGGTTGCCAAGATAAACTATTAAACCCTGTCAAACAAATAAGGGTAGCAAGAATAACAACCCCTGTGATCAATACTCTAAATATTCTTAACCTAATAAATTCTTTATAAAATAATACAAAAAATTTATGGATAATCGCATAGGTCTCTTAATGGACTATCGAAACAAATTTTAAGTCTATAAATAAAAAGAACAGCACTGTTTCATATTTTTTTTACAAAGCATTATTTTCTTTTTTTTTAACCGTGAGAATACATAACAACATACAGGGATTGTTTAATGAAATCTTAATACATACTACATATAATATAACGCTACGAACCTTTATTATTCACACTATCATGGTTATGTACAAATAAAATTGAAGTTACGATTCGCAGCATTCTAAAGCATTTTTTCTTAGTCACCTTCACGTGATACGTCGATAGGAAACTCGTCAAGTGCACTCCTGATGATTTTTACAAAATCTAAAGCGCAAGATATCGCACCGTGCAAAAATACTGCGAAGCAATATATGGCAGAAGAAAAAACGAAAACAGAACTAGTTTAAAAAAAAACAGATAAGAACAAACAAAAAAGAAAGAAGAAAATCTTCAAGAGTGCACAGGAGGACCATCAGTTAATTCACCTGATGTGGGTAAACACATTGCCCGAAACCATACTAGGTAAAACAATACCATTCCACGCCTCCACCATGGAAAAATAAACTACCGCTTTTTAAAACATATCATAACATGATAATGCTTGGTATTTCTTTATACGATAGTAAAATCCGTGCATGGCGGATGCCTGATACAACCGCAATAATTAATTCCCATTAATTAATGGCGTTCATTATTGTTCAGTGAACATACCTTGCACAATCCTCGACACTTTTCTTTTTTTCTTTCTCTTTAAATAGCCTAATTATTATGCTTTTTGAAGAACAAGCGTTACCGGTGTGTCACCATGTTTGGTTCTCCTTGCGCCTCTTTTCTCTATCCTTCTTTTAGGTCCGGATATATAATCTCAGAATAAAATTTTTTCTATGTCCGAAAGTAATGATAAAAACTGGTCGAGTCATTGGGCAATATCGACTAAGAGCTGTTTTGGTCATGACGTATATCCGGAGAACAGGTTGCGCCCTCACGAACAACTCAATAAGTCTTGGTTTATCATCCCGCGAAGCAGCGCTTCGTTATATGTTACTTCATTCTTGTTTCATCATGGAAAACTTGTAGGGTAGTCGAACGCTCTGCAAAGAGAGTCTGAACTTTGTCGATTACGAGGTAGTAAATATTTTTGTACCCTCTGGGAGTATCACTTCTTCGCCAACGTCCGTCAGGGTCACCGTGAGTGGTAAGATCAAGGGCATCAGGATCTCCTGGTGCTGCATTACCTGCTGAGCAGTTACTGTATCCCCTGGTCTAGTTATTGTTATGGTTTTAACACTTTGAGGCTTCACTATGTGTGCTTGTCCGATGGTCTGATGTATCCGGGGTTGCAGCTGCACCTGCTCCAAGTTCTCATTGCGGTTTTGATTCTGCAGGAGGTTCTGCCTACACCTTTTGCTATGAGCGTAACGGCTACCGTTGTTATTAAATCTCCTGTCGCAGGTGGGACAGGCATAAGGTCGTTGACCCGTGTGTATGAAAACGTGTTCCTTGAGAGACTTCAGGCGCCTGAAATTCTTAGGACAGTATTTGCAATGATACTTAGCCTCACCTGTATGAGAGGTTAAATGATTGGCCAGTGTGTCAGCTCTGGCAAATGCGCGAGAGCAGTACTGGCATATGTAAGGACGTTCCTGAGTATGCGTTCTCATGTGCATTTTCAGGTACGCATTGGTGGTGAAGGGCCTAGAGCAGACTTCGCAGACGTAGGGCTTTATACCGTTGTGCGCCCTTAGATGAGCTATCAACGTCGTCGACTGGGTGAAACTCTTGGAGCAGATCTCACAGAGAAACCTCTTCGAACTGTCTGTATCCTTGCTCTTCTTGAAGTTACGGTCGTGCTTCGTCAAGTGATTTGTAAGCTGCTCCTCCTTGGTGAAGCGTTTCGTGCAGCGCGTGCACTTGTATGGTTTTATCATGTTGTGTTTAGCTACGTGAATCTTAAGGTGTTCTCGTCTGTAGAATTTCTTGGGGCATATGTCACAGAGGTACTTCTTACCCTCGTGTACTTGGAGATGACGCAGAAGACCCTTACGAGATGTGTACTGTTTGTTGCACTCGGTACACTCTAAGCCTACTATGTCTGTTCTTCGTTTACGAACGATTTTCTCACCCTTTTTGCGATTCTCTGGCCTGGGTTCTATGTCCCTGAGATCCTCTTCTGTAAGGATCCCTTCAGTGACGTGCTTGGCTCTGTGTTCTCGTAGGAGTTCATTACTTTCGAAGCTATCCCCACAGATGTTGCACTTCCTGACCTGGTCAGGATTTTTCTCTGAGCACTTATCGTAGTGTGCTTTTAGTTTGTCCTTGCGGTAGAACTTTACGTTGCATATATCGCACTCAAAGTTTGGCTCCTCGTGGAGAAGCTGGTGTCGCAGGAGGGACTTCTTTGTGCTATATTTCTTTTTGCAAGTAGTGCACTCGTGATTGTCTATTGGCCACTCTAAACCGCTCTCGAAGTCTGAATTCTCATCGTCGTCTATGTCGAAGTCGCCTATTCCAAGACCAAGATTACCGCTGCAATTCTTTTGTAAGTCTTTCTTATCCTTCTTCATTTTCTCTAATTTCTCTGCTTTCTCATCCTTCACGTGTTGCTCCATGTGCTTTGTTAAGGATTGCTTAGAGCCACATTTTCTACCACAAGTGGCGCACTCGAAGTCCTTTCTGTAATTATGTTTCTTTGTTGGTCCGTAGTCATCACCATGATTGCCAAAGTCATCATTTATATCATCCTCATCCTCGTCATCCTCAAGATCGTCCTCTATTTTGATCTTGTCAATAATCTTTTGCGCAGCCTTCGCAGCAACTCTTTTGATTCTTTTATTAGGATCATATTCCTGACCATGCACAAAAGTTTTATGATTGGTAGCTATGAGATGGTTTCGAAGTGTCAATTCATTACCAAAGGTTTTGTTACACTGCGTGCACTTAAAGGACTTGACTCTACCATGCTGTTCCATATGCCTACGGAGATGGTCCTTCCTGGTGAACTGTTGACAACACATCTTGCAACCATACTTGGTACCTTCATGTGTTTGTAAGTGTCTTGATAAGGATTTTTTATGGGAATAAGTCATTGGACAGTTCGGACACTTCAAATCTTTTGTTTCATTCCATCTTCTCTTCCTATGCATCTCCTTTCCTTGGGTATCTGAAAACTGTTCTTCGTTATCTACCTCATCCTCGATATCCTCCTCAATATCATCTTCATCCTCTTCTTCAATCTCCTTTTCAACAATCTCCTGCACATCTTCCTTCAAATCTTGTTCGGACAAAACACCTTCAATCACATGCTTTGTCCTATGGTGCCTAAGCTTCTCCAGAGAGTCGTACTCCTCGTTGCATACACTGCACGTCAATGGAATATGTCTAATGTCATGTTTACGTAAACCACGTTTCGTATAAAACTTCTCAGGGCATTTATTACACAAGTAGGACTGTATGTGTTTCTTCCTCTTTCTCTTTCTTCTGTCTTCTTGATCCTCATTCTCGTTCTGATTATCATCCTCGAGATATTCCTCGTCCTCCCTCATGCTTCTATCGTCACCTGAAATAGAACTGGGTGCACGATTGCAATTAGAAAAGCTTAGACTATTCTCATCCTCTTCGAAAGAAACTTCCAGCGGCATGTGTTCCTTCTTATCCTGCACCGTATCTTTTTCATGTTGCTTCAGGTGCTTATTGAAAGAAATCACATAAAGATATTCTTTACCACAATGAGGACACTTGTTGGCGCGTTTACCTGACGGCGGTATCTTCGCTGTACCTGTGTTACTCCTCTGTGGCTTCTCAGGTGTCTTTTTCATGGATAAAGCTCGTCTAACTTCTTCATGAGAATGCATGTGTTCTTTGAGAACGCCTTTTGATAAGAACTGCTTGTCGCACAAGTAACACACGAAGAATACTTTCTCACTTTTGTCAGCCTGAGCACGTTTCAACCTGGAGCTGAGGTTGAGATTCTCGAAATAGTTTTCCTCGTCGGAGACCCGATCAGCCATGGCTGCTCTTCGTAAGGACCTGCGTTTACTCCTTCGTGTTTCTGTTTGGGATAAACTACGATCAGACGGACACTCTGCTTTCGTTGCATCACATTGCTCTTCTTGGTTGATATCATCATTGGGAATGTCTTCTTCATTCAGGAGTTCCATGAACTGTTCAGAGTCCTGATTTTGAGATGGAGCCTCTTGCGCAGTATATTCTCGATCAGATTGTAAAGTGTAATCATGTTGCACAATGTAATCGTGTTCCTCCACTGCCATAGTATCCACTACAACCGTACCCTCGTCTTTGATTTGTTCGTGAGCTTCCAATGTGTTTGTTATTTCGTGTGTCTGATCTTCATCTTGCTGAATTATTTCTTCATCAATGACCTGCTGGTCTTCTTGAATGGTCTCCTGGTCAACCTCCTCTTGAAGTTCTTGCACGTCTCCCTGTTCTGGACACAACAAGACGAACTTTGAAAATGGCTTAGATACAAGTTATTATCGACATATTAAACTTACAATTGACATGTTCAAATACTCAATAATCAAAGAATTAATCACTGTCAATAATTAAACGTGTAATTATGAATAAAGATAATAATTTTATTTATTACTTTTGAATATAGACAATCCCCACCTTCCTCCAATGCTGTTTCTTCCTCTGCAAGCTTCTCCACTTGAAGAAGAGCCATATGATCCTTTAATAAAGTCCTTTTTTCATCATCAATTTCCTCATCTAAAGATTCACTAGAAGTTTGAAAGTGAGCATCAACTTGAACTTCTACTTCATTAAAGAAAAGCTCCTCCTTGATGTTAAGCGAGTCATATCTCTCCCGCAAGACTCCATCAGCTTGTTCAACTTGTAATTTGAATTCATATGCAGACTCCAACTTTTGTGCACAGACACAGCATACTTGTGAGGGTAGACCATCCTCTGGTAACATCTGAACAAGAAATACATCTAACTGTAATATGAAATTCTACAGTGTTAATTTGACGAGAAATTATGAAAAGTAATAGTCAACGTTAACTATCACACAATCGTGAAGATACTATATTGTTCAACAAAAGGCTTGTACGTGTAACGACATAAACTCTAGATTCCAGCGTCATTTAGTATTTTACAAGACAAAAAGTAACCTCGAAATTACGTGTCTAACCTTAACGCTGGCGAAGCTCATGGCCTTGGCGGATAAGGAGGCGACATCATTCTCCTGGAAGAGGTCCCGCATAACCAAATTTCCAAGGAGACACACGCGACATATTTCCACGTCGGAGACCATACCTTCCTCATTTTCAGGTGGCTCCGACGTATTTACCTCAACGGCGTCCATGTTTTGTTTTGTGGCCGCGGATCTCGTACTTACTCCCACACCGACTCCCGATTCCGACCCTTCAAAACCTTCGCGGCCGCAACGTCATTATCGTTCGTGACAACATTGCCGCGAGTTAGAACCGCCATCTGTTGACATACAACAAAATTTTTGTAAATGTATAACAGCGCCACCTAGCGGAATTCCCGTAAACCGTTCAATGTTATTTAGGACCGGTTTCGCCAAAGTTAATTGAAGTTAAATTGCCACGATTAGGCAATCAGATAGTTGTATTTCCGAAAGTTTCTGATCCAATTGGCTAATCTTGACAGTGTAACCACAGTTACCTTTCATGAAACTTTAGATGCATTCAGTTAAATTTCGACAAAGAGAACAAAATAATTTTCTCTACATTCCTCTGTACAATTCGACAATGTATGAAGTAACTTGATAAAGAAACTTTTAATTAACTTAAGCCCAAAAAACCTTATTATGCCTTGCGCTCTTGAAAGAATCTTACAAACTCTCCTAATACACGAAAAATCTTTTTCCAGTAGACAATGACTACGTTTACACGTCTTAAATCGGTTTAATTAATACTGATCTAAAGGAATTGACCAAACCCAAATATTCCTTACAAGTAGAAATGTCTATGATTTGTCTATTCCTTTAAATCGGTATTGGTAAACGTAGTTAACGTTCTTGAAAACCTTGTTTTAAAGATACAAACTCTAATAAGAGTATTTCAAAATAAATAAAAGATAACTAAAATATGTCCAAATAGTTCTAGCAAGCTCCATGAGGCGATAGATACTGGATGATTGTTAAAAATTGCAACAAGAAATACTGTCTGCGCCTGTAACTATGCAACCTCACATACTACTCCCACTACTCTTATTCAAGAAACTGAAATGGGCGCGTAAATGCGTAAATCACAATACTACACGCAATAGAACTGGTTGCTTTTGCGTAGTAAATACAAAATACACGGCATAAAATGAATGGTAACCTGAACTTACAGTGGTTAGATTTTGTTCGAGTTGAAGAAGAAATCTGTTGGTAGGGAAGAGGCGTCATTTGTGAATCATCATTTACGGTATCAGTGAAAAAAATGAGTGAAAACGTGTATCTATACATATGAATAAAAGACAGGTATGTAGTGTGATGATAGAAAAAAGAGAAAGATAGCAATAAGGGAGATAGCAAATGACGGAAACGAACGTGCGTTATGATAGAGAAAAAAGAGAGAGTGTGTGGGGCGTCGCGCGTCGATGTTGACAAAATACATATATAACCGGATGCATGGCATTCGTGTTGAGTAACGTAAACGCAACCCGCACGTAATTCTGTAAAAACGACGCCGCCGTCGCCGTGGTAGCCGTCGCCGCCGCCGCCGCTCGTCAAGACTTACGGAACTTGCGCTTTACTTTGACAGAGTTTTGGTGAGTTCGATTTCTAAATATAGAAAGACATAAAGATAGACATAGCTGGTGAATTATCAAATGCAGATAATTGTGTATGTAAAACTATGTTTTTCTTATAAATGTAAAGCAATATGGAATGCGTAATACATGGTGGATTTTTCCTCGGGGCGTTATGTTGTGGCCTTAGTCACGCCTAGTGTTTTAGTTATGTCGTAAACATCGTAAAGGTAATTTGCAAGCAAGTGATATTTTATATGGGAGGTTAACGTGAATATTATTGCGTAAAGTATGTTGGTGGAAAGGCCGTGAAGTGGAGGACATTCTCTCTCTTTTCTATGAAGCGTAACAGTGGGAGGTGTTCCTCGTGGAGGTCTTGAAAAAATGTGATGGCTAAATCGGAGCGTTTGTTGAAGGGGGGGATTGGTGAGAGGAGGACACGACTCTTGTGCGCGCCCTTTGAGAAGGCTTCTATTTTTAGAGATTCAACGCTATGTCCCACTCTTACCTAAAATTCAAGTTTCCCTTTTGGATCAGTTCCCTTTCTACTTCCTGCCGGGAAACGTTATTTCTTTAGTGTCGGTTTGCAAAGATCCTTCCCTTAATTGAGTACAGTCTTTTAAATCTCACTGCGACCTGCCCTTCGAGGAGGCATGTATTTTTAGATACTCCAAAAGGAAAAAATGGTACCAACCCTTCGTTTGCTCTTCTTCTTTCTTTGGCTGGTTTATTCTTGGAATATCTGAAAGTCGTGCAGTTCCTCTCAGTTCTCTTTAGTTTGTGCAAACCCATTTTAAGAAGGAAAGACACGTTTCAATGGTTAATACTAGATTATCATTGCTTCGTAGGAAAATGGATAGCGAACAACATCATTATGAGCTGCGCAGTAGAAGCAGGTCGCGTTCGCAGACTCCTAGAATGCTGAATAGAAGTGTTACTGAGACTGAATCCTCAGAACATCATTATGATTTGAGGAGTAGAAGTCGCGAACGATCACATACACCTGGTGAGGTGACCAGCACTAGAAGATCTGGCTCTAGATCACTGTGAGTGTTTACAATTTGTACTATAAGAATTGGATTACTATGTATTTTTTGAGGAAATTATAATTGTACGATTCTTGCAGACCCAGCAGTGCAGGTAAGTCACGTGACAAAAGCATGGAAACTATCTCAGAAAAGAAGGAGGAAGTTCATGTTGAAGACACAACCGATACTCAGAGTAGGAAGAGTGAAGGCTCAACCTCCAGTGTTACGAAGAAAGCAGAACGACGTTCAGAAAGACAGCGGGCAAAGAAACAAATCTTTGTCAATGGGCAAGGTGATTCCAAGAACGACTCCTTGGATGATAAGGTTGAACGGAAGAGAAAGAGTATAACACCAAGGAGGATACTCACTAGTGACTACTCTTCAGAAGAAGGAGAACGCGAGGATCCTCCAAGTAGACCAGGATCAGCTTATGAAATTTATAAACAAGCTGGGGAATGGTGGAAGTGAGTATCTATTTTGCAATTTAAGAAAAAATCAATCAAATTTGAATTGTACTGTAACCAATTAATTCTTGGAGAATTAATGTTTCTCATTGTGTAAATCTCTATTCTCATTAATTTCTGTTAATCGGTACAGGATAATCCAAATCACGTACACACGTTCTCATTATCAAATAATTTACCGAACTTATCTATCTTCATGTAATCTAAAGTGTCTTTGAAAAAACGGTCACATGTTTGTTTCAAAAACGTAATGTTCTCATATCTATATATTGCTCTTACTCTATGTGATGTAAACCCCTTCACTCTTGTGAAGTATTTTCAGAATTCAACAAGTCTTATAAATTTCTATAGTATTTGCATTTAATTTATCATCTACGAGATAAACAATTGTTCGAATATTATATTCTTTAAATATGAGGAGACAGCAATTTCACTCTTACCCAACATCTACTAAAATAGATAGTAGGAATTAAAAGTATAAATCTAAATACAATTCCTTAATTACAAGGCAGCATTAATTTACCTCTCAGATAAGCCCAAAGAATCATCCTGTATCAATCAGTAACATTTCGCATATCCACCAACAAGAATTCTCAATTATTAGAAATATCATCCACGTAATCACACACAGCACATGATATTCACAGAAGCGACGATGAGGAAACTCCTCCAATTCTTAACGCGTAAACAGTCTGTGCTTCAATATTATCAAACAAAAGTACCCTTGAAAACTTCTTGTTGACGTATTTCATATTCGTTATTTAAATATACAGAAAATCGTTATAAGTTTAAAAGATGCAAGCAATCTCGTGAAATTAGTACAATTATTCGAAGAATCCATATCTTAAAGTTTCTACAGTTGTATATTCCATATTTCAGTGTCTTCCCAAAAACAGACTATACCTACTCGCAGAAATCAACTTGCCGGTATGAAATAGCACCAGGCGTCCTGGCGATGCCGAATATGTCACGGCGTTCCATCCACTCAGATAGCAACAGTACAACAGGTAGTATACCTTCAGTCAGCCAGCAAAACATAAGTCAGACATCACATGGGACATCAGAAAATTATATGGGAGATACAGTGGATACTATGGATAGTATGGAGTCAGCGGAGGCACGTGAGCAGCATAATCTTATGGTAAAGAATTTTGATATGAGTTTCATTATTCATATATGCTAAACAATATTTGAATATACCATTGTATATGATATTGCATTGGGAGACTTTCTCTCATAATTAGTAACTAGAAATTTTGTGTGATATCATACTATGATGGTGGTTAAATTGATGTAGAAAATGAGTGTTAAAGTGTTTTATAGTAATAAGGTTTGCCAGAAATTGTGTGTTCAAAAGAAGTTTTATTATTGTATTGTTAACAGTCGGGTGACAGTGATTTACTACGCTTTCCACGTAGTCGACATCCAGACTCTGTTGCACGTGGAATGATCTACAAGACTATGCACGTGGAACACTACAAGAGTCATCGTGAAATTCTTTATTCAGATTCTGGTAATTTGCCAGAACTTGAACCTGAGAGTAAAAGGTAATTAAGATTGATTTGTTTATTCAGTTTATTAGTAAATTTATTTTTTAATTTTTTTTTGGCCATTTCTTTTACGTTTATTATTTGTTTTCTAGGTACAGCAGCACTACAGATGGACCATCCAGGTCGTTCGCCACACGCAGATATGGCAGATTCACTCAATTGGATTCTGACACAGAACTTGATGATGCTGTGACAGTTTCATCTTATGGACGTAGAGAGAAATGGAGAAGATGGTATGAGAGCGTTACTACCGTTGTGATTACCTGGTGGACCAGGTTGATGGAGACTATTGGAATCCGACAAGGAAGAGGAAGATACTATCCTAGTTATGACTATCGACGGCATCAAGGTAGGAAAAACATAGATAATAATACTAGGTTAAACAATATTCAATGTTATATATAGTAAATCTTAAATTCGCTATAAATTTATGTGTAGAATCAAAATGGAGCAAAGCGTGGAGGATGGTTGACAGAGTCCTACAATCCCTGTATCTGTTGCTCGTGAGGGTCCTGTTCCTGGATTCCTGGCTACTAAGCAGAGCATCCAATACAAGAGAACGGCTAGGTGATCAGCGTCGCAAAATCCTCTGGTTAATTCTGTTGCCGCCACTTCTATTAGCTGGTGAGTGATTTCGAAGAACTTATCGAGTAGGAAGTAATTCCTTGGATGAAAACAAGTTACCTCCAAACGGCTTACAAAACTGTCATTGGAATGTGTTGAGCATTGAAAAAAGAGAGAATGAAACGACAGGACGCGACACCAAGAAGTTCTATAGCTGAGTTCCATTGTGCAAAGACATTTAAGTCTAGTCTGGCCGTCCTGGTCTTCTTTTTGTTTCAGGAGCTTACGTTGCGCAAAAGCATACCCTAACCTATCTGGACTCTCTGAAAAATGTTCCCTCCGACGTCGCTGAGACAAGCTCTCGCATCCTTAACGATATTTACAGTTATACATACCTCGAATACGATCTTCTCGCTAAATACCTATCAAGCATCAGGAATAACATAACCTTACCAAGCATAACAGCTCCAAACATTTCATGGCCAATACTACCCTCTTTACCGTCGCTCCCCAATATAGGGTGGAATATTACCTGGCGATAGCATAATCATTTTCGCGGTTAACTTAATACTGTAACCGTTGAAAGACAAGTTTTATTTTATTTCGTGGCTTTGAACTAACCCTTCGCGTGTTTAATGAAAAATATTTGACCTTTCTTTTTTTTACGTGCTTTCTTCTTCTATTTATTCGAGGACGAGAGCGAAGGATGCTTTTTATATTTTTAGAACAATTATATTATTAGTTCACGAAGTGTCATAAATAATAGTGGCACAGCGTCAGTATAAAAACTACAACAGAGGAGGAAATGAACACTGCATGAATTTTTACTTGAATTATTGATTAAAAAAAAAAAAGAAACAAAGTCATATGATGCCTTGTCAGACACTACACTGTAATAATCATTAGTCTATCATTATACAGGAGAAGGCCTGCATATTCTTGTATGCATGATGCACTCGTTCCTTGATTCTAACTTGATTTTTTTTTACTAACAAAACTAACGTTAGACTACATATTTACATTAGAGAACGTTGTCCCTTGATCTCCCATTTCATGAAAAATAATTATTTGCATACAGAATGACGATGACAATGAGAATTGTGAATCATCAATCCTCACGAATATCATTCAAACGTATCTATAGTGTCGTACTTACGTTTGTCCCCTTCGATATAATCGAAATATTAAAGTTGATAATGGACGATTGAATTTTTAAAACTTTCGATTGCTCCGAATCTCAAAGATCCACGAGAATCGACTTTAAGTGGAAAATGCATAATTTTACTAAATCATGAATTAGTAACTTAATACGTTTCCGAGCGTACTATGATTGTTACAACAAGTAGTAGCATCAAACACCCCCAAGTTATTTCATGTGAAATATGGTACAAATCTTGATTAGAACAAAAACGAGCCCACCGGTAGTGACGTTTCCAAAAATTTAATATAATAAATATGTAAACGGATAACAATAATATCTCCATTATTTTTAACGTTCGTGTATGATATATTGATTATGTAAAACGAAGCTCGTGAACGAATAAAACGTTTTTCAATTTGAACTTAATGATAATAATATGGGAAAGGTCGTAAAGGCACATCTAGTAGACATATTTCCCTTTCTTCGATATTGCGAGCCTTTCAGCTTTCCATAATTCAAAAACGACTTTTGAAATGGGAGAAGGATAGAAGGAGGTAACTTCACTGGAGACCAGATTATCCTGGGATTCGATCTTCCTTGAGGGACTCTGGGGATGATGATTCTAATGATCGAAGCCATCCGAATGGTGAGTTCCTTCGTCTACCCTTCTCTCACTTACCCAACTGGTTACCATATTAGAACCATTAGATAGTATGTATAAGAAAATGGACGTAAATCGTTGTAAGATTTTTCTAAGTTCTGATTGGTACGTAACTAATATGGTAACCTAGATGTGTGTCGATAAGTGACTAATAATTAATGTACTGCCTAATGGTTCATACTAAGATATGAGTAATATTATTTTTCAGCATGGTGGTTCTTGCCTTTTATCATTACAATACCCTTACAATTTATTGCTGGACTGGTGCAACAAATAACAGAGTCATCGGTGGCAACATTTAAGGAGACAAAAAAGACTCTCACAGCTACTGATCCTACAACTGTAATTCCTGAGGTTATCGCACAAGTCAATCAAACTTCCGAAGTTTATTCAACCAAGGAAATTGACGAACTCAAACTGCGAATTGAACGATTGGAAAATGATGATCCCAAGTGGATGGTAAGACAAGCCTAATAAGGATATTCTTTTGTTCACTGATCTTCTCTACCTTATTTCAATTATAAGTACTGAACTATGTACTTGATGTTTCAGAATAAGTGGACAATATTGGAAAGAAATATTGGCGAGAGAGATGACGCCGTACAGAATCAAATTAAAGCACTCAGGCTTGAATTGCAAACATTGAAAGAGCTCCAGTCGACATTTTTGAATGATGAAAAGATGGAAAAGCATATCACGCGAATTATCAATGAACACTTTAATGCAGAAACATTTAAACAGAATATAACAGCAATATTTGAGACGCTTATTATAGCCAATCAAATTGTCAAAGGCGACAAGAAGAGAGAAGGTACGACAGAAACTAATTTCATTACGTATAAAGTACAGTGCATTATATGCATATCCTTCTTTCACCTAATATATATTTTTGCCTATGTAGCAGAAACCAAAATACAGTCATTGACTACAGACCCTGACAGTCACTATTCTAATTACGAAAATTCAAAGCGTTCAGGTTTATGGACGGAGGAGGACATAAAAAAGATAATGAAAGAAATGATAAAAATATATGATGCTGATAAAACTGGCAAGATCGATCACGCACTAGAGTCCGCAGGTATATTATTGGAATATTAACGAGATGAAAATTTTGTACAATTTCATTAAATTGTTAATTCCGAATTATAGGCGGACAAATAATTAGTACGCGGTGCACTCAACCATACAAGGTGCAGGTTGCTTTTAAATTCCTTGGATTCACATGGCATTCAGTGCATAACGATCCACGCACAGTAATACAGAGAAACCCTGTGCAACCTGGTGCATGTTGGGCCTTCCAGGATTTCCCAGGATACTTGCTGATAAAACTACGCGGATCAATTTTCATTACCGGTTTCACTATGGAGCACGCGTCTAGGTGGATCTTGCCAAACGGAGAGATGAGAAGTGCACCACGTAAATTCGACGTTTGGGTAAATTCATATATATTTAAAATTGAATAAAACACTTTTTATTCAATTCTCATATTTATTATTATATCCAGGGACTTGAAAATGAGAACGACGCAGAGCCTGTTCGCTTTGGGGATTATGAATTCCTTGATTCGGACGACAATCTACAGTACTTCCCAGTACAGGTAAGTGACATGTTTCACATGTAACAGCAAGATATTTTAAGGAAATTATTTGTTTTATTTACTGATTGTCTTAATTGAACAGAACACGAGCATCGTTAAACCGTACGAGTATGTGGAGCTAAAAATCCATAGCAATCACGGGCAACTAGAGTACACGTGTTTGTACAGGTTTCGAGTACACGGCGTGTCAGTTTGAACCACTTTTAACAAGATTATAAAATGCTCCAATCGGATTGTCACTCTCGATCGGCGGATCGTCGTTTAAAAGGGAAAAGTTATTTTCAGTCATGCAGCAGGACATTACCTAGTCTTAAGTAACGTTCGTTAGAATCGAGCCATTACTGTGTCATAGAGTGTTAACTGCATTTGAGGAGTGAGTACCGAGCAACTTCTGTTACACAGTGCACTTTAAAGACATAATTTGATTTATCTGGATTGGATCAGATGATTTGTCCTTAACTGGCAAGATTATTTGCATTCAAATGTGCCGCCATTGCGAACGTTACCATAGCGCATGTCAGTTCATGCACCTATACTCTGTGTGTCTTTTTTTCTTTATTCTATTATTTGCTTTATTCTCCTTCTATTTTCTTGTTCACTTTTGTTCGTAAAACTATGTTTAAACTGTATTGACACTTTATATGTGAGCCTGATTAATAATGTAGGGTTCGATAAGGGCCAAAAATTAGGACTAGGATCATCCTCAACGAGATGAATAATATATAAAATAGGTTTCACTTGTGGTAGAGAGAGTTAAGTTTCTGTTGATCGAGTTTTTCTTTTTCTTTGTTCTTGAAGTTTATATTTCTCGTTTACCTCTCTTTTTTCTCTGTGTTCCTGTTACACGTGAAACTAAGGTAGCATTCGAAACTGAGAAGTCGTATTTCGAAAGCCTTCTGAGGAACCCTTACAAAGGCTAAATTTTTAAATCCCTTCAATTAGATTAAGGATACTTATGAGAAAGGATGCCTATGGGCGTATATATTTATTTTATGCAAACGCAACACACTTTTTATACGGTTATAAATACGAATTGTAATTTCTAATTGTTTCTCCTCATCGTCAGTGTCTTGTTCATTAATTATTAATTCTTGCTCATTGATTCATTCACACATCTTTTTGTCAATGAAAATGTACAAATAACAATGTGTCACAATAAGTGTGTGAGTGATGAGGGGGGAAATAAGTAAAAATGGAAAAGTATTTTTTTACATAAATATTACTGACAATGTCAATGAATGTAACGGAAGCTTTTAGATGTTGGGACTGTGTAAAGTTATCCCCTCAAGCAAAATTTTGGAGCAATTAAATCAGTAACAATCTATGCATAATAATAGTAATGACACACGGCACAGCAACAATAATGATTTAATGATACCAACACGACAGTACAAATTGTAAAGAACCTTTACTACACCCTAGAATAAGTATATAATCGTGGTGGTACCACTACCATGTGATTGGCTAAGAGAAACAATGCACGCTTTTGTAAAGGCTCGAAAGAACTTATAATAATACATGTAACTAATGTATATCATATGTAAGAATACTTGAACAGCATATTCAACACTTAATTCTTATGCGATAACTACTTCTGTGACCATACTGGGACTCCGATATATTCTCTGTGAGAAATGCCTAGTCCCTGTTCGCATTGAAAAAATGAAAATAGGAAAGACCTAATATCATAAGCGGTCCTAATGTGTTTCTATAATATTTTTCATATAGCTGTTGGTTTTGTAAACATAAAAAATTCTTCGATAATTACATACACATGATAATGACCATCCTCTTCAGTAATGATTGTTCCAGCATATTACAATTAATATTAACTATTCTTTTCTTTCTAGATACCTTCCTATATTAGTAAAAATGAACAAAAATTGTACCTTTGGTAGAGGCTAAAATTGTATCAATCATATACAAACTGAGGCTCAATTTTTTTTTCTAACATAGTCGTTAATTTGAGTAACAAAGAAGTCGTTTCTTAATACAATGTTTTTCCACTGGTTTAAATTTTATAAGTTCGTAAGATTATTTAACATTTCATTAACTTACCACTGATCATTTTGTTTTTTGTAAAATATGACCGGCACTCCGCATCCATGCCTACGTACACGATTGGGAGACTAAAGGTTTCTTTTTCATATTGTATTTACTTATGGATATCTATTTCAAATAACGCCCTATAAGTTTGTGAATAAAAAGAAGTTACAAATTCCAAAGCAACTCTTTCTGAAGCCACACAAGCAAAGGAGCCCAAACATTTATTAAAAACTATCCAATCGACACTCGTAATAACTCACAGTCAATATTCAAAACCAACGAACAAGAAGAAATACCTGCGCGCGCATCTCGTAACACGGGTTGCCATTATTAATTATTGCGATAGTTGCTACGTACGATAACCTAACAAAACACGATTGCCAATGCAAAAGCCATTACTTTATCTCAGTGACTGCTAAGTGAATCGTTCAGAAGTTCCAATTTTCTTGAATCTAAAAATAAAGTAAGTCCCCGTTAATAAATTATATTACAAATTCAAACGACCCAGAGCGCCACAATGGCGGGAAGTAAGAACGTAAGACAAAAATAACTGTGCAGCAACAAGTGTCGATGTTTTGAAATCATTCGTTCTACAAATACCTGTAAAAAGAAATATTTGGGTCATCCGGTGACAAGTAAGTTTTCATGACAATTTCATTATGTACTCATAAGAATGCACGATGCAGCGAGAAAACGATTGAATTTACGGTTTTGGACATTGGCCACAGCAATAGTCCTTCCACGCATGAGGTCATGTGTGAAAGATTCATAAGCAGTGTTCATATATCCTACAATCAAATGAATGTCGATGTACCTATGAAGCCACGATAAATCCGAGGTCGCTGCTATTTCATTTCTATTCTCGACTTTAAACCACGAGAGACAGGACTCTTACCTATGTCATAGCCCTAGAGTCTTACGTCCACCTTTGCGAATCCCAAGCAATCATGACTCCGTTAATACGGGTTAGTGCGATAGGTCGTGATTCCATTAAAAATTAATATTAGGGTTGAGTCCGGGTTATCAGTCAGTGTCAGCAGTGCTGGAAATTGACAGTGCATGCAATTAATAAACACTGCGATAAAATAGGAATTATTAATCGATATTGGCTTGTTTACTTGATTCACTCGTTTATTTTTTTTTTTCTCGTAAACAAGTAGAGATTTTAGATACTCATCGTTTTAATATGCGAACGCAGACGGATGCACGCGCACATTTAATTCGCATCCATTGATCATGTGTGTGTACATATATATGTGTATATATACCTATATATATTTCTGAGATGTGTTTCTTCTATGTTTTCTTCTGCGCAATATATATATATATATTTTTAATTTATTTTCTATAGATTTTTTAAATATATATATCATATAATTTTAGTTTATCGAATAGGATACATCCTTTCTGCCAAATTTTCTATCATCCTTTCATCGTATCGTATATCGCTTTTCCCGATTACTCTGAACACCGTTTCACGCATCAGGAGAAACATATTTTGCATTTTATTTTATAAATAAGAAGCGTTTAACAAAAGTACGGCGTTGTTGTGTGTTGGTTCGTTTCTTTGTTTTTTTTTCTTTTTTGTTTTTCATTCTCGAAATAAATAAAAAGCCTGAGCGCTCGTTACGCATATTATTAATTAATTATGTATACATACATATATAACATATGTTTGTGGACTGGCTCGTGCGTACACATTAACGTAAGTAAATCACCATTTTTTTTTTTTTTAATATTCGCCCCTGTCTCGCCTTCGCGACAAACTCACAACGGTAGAGTCTCGAACGCGACACACTGCCTTTGTGCTATTAGAAAAACGAAAAACCTGTAGTAATACTATCATAAATTACAAGAATGAGTATAAACGGAATTCAGGTCGCAGAACAGTGAGAACGTAACAATTGTCACCCTCCTGGGTCAATAATAATAATCACATCGCGCTAGGATAAGTGGAGTCGGTAAAACGGGCCGAAAGTTGGCCCTGAATTATGAAAACAGGGAAGAACTGTAATCTACCTTACCGACCGTAACCAAGTGTCAGTTAATTGAATATCAATATACCATACGAGTGTCAATTGGCACGGATCGGTAAGTATTACGATATAACGTTTCACGGTATGGACTGGGAAGGTGAGGTTCGTCGTTCAAGGCAATCGTGGGAAAGGCTGGAAAAATGGCGACGAAGGGGGTGAAGAATAATTAGCGATAAAGGAGAAGACGAGGAATTCGAGGAGGATTTAATAATGGAGATGGATATAGACGATGGGCACGTAATTGGAATCCTCAATACTGACTTTGGAATGGTTTGGATCTTATCTCTTTTTTTTTTTTAAATCTCTCTCATTCTTTCCTTCTCTCTCTTTCTCTCCCATACACACAGGGCGGCATACTCTTTCACCATTTTCTTTCATTCGCATCCACATTCGTTATTAATTTCACACACGCACACTTGACCCGCGTATGCACAATTTTTTTCTTATCCCCTCGCGCGTCCCGTCGGGCAAACAAAAAACCGAGAAAAACAAATTCCAAAATCTGACAAGTGTTTTTACATTATAACGAAAAGCACCTGTCGGGCTAGAATTCGTGCCGTAATGTAGACGCGACCGGAAGACAATGAAAAACGTCACTTAAAATAATAATAATAACGAGTTACGATTATCCTCTTTCGCGCTCGCTATGCTTTAAGACATAGGACGATAATCGCTTAACCGTATTAATCGTGATGAGTGAACGGAGAGGGTAATGAAAAAAAAAAAAAAAAAAAAAAAAAAAAAAAAAAAAAAAAAAAATAATGAAGTGCAAGAAAGAATAAGAGAGACGCAAGAAAATAAATAAATACTACACGAAAAATTCGATGACGTATCGCCGCATCGCTATTAATAATAATAATAATAATAATAATAATAATAATAATAATAATAATAATAATAATAATAATAAAATAATAAAAGCGAGCATTCATTTAATAATATTGCAAATGATTCAAGTGTCACTAATCGATTAATTAATTATTCAATTAGAAATCGATCGATCGATCGGTAATAAAAAAATAGGTAATAGAAAAATATTATCATATGCGATGTCAAATCCGTATAACATATGTATAAACGTAATAGCGATAGCAGTTATTGAGATAAGAGTCTACGTTGAAATAATAATGATATCCGTACGTCGCGTCACGACGCCACCGCCATCTGTCGTCGATCTCGGTAATTACCTTCAGCGCACCCTAAAATTTCTACTAGCGCGAATAGTCTATATATAAAGTCCTCACGTGAAAAGAAGGACCATCGCACTAATATTCACGCCGTGGGATATGCTCGGGATAATGTTTTATAATTTTTTTTCTTTTTCCCCCCACTTGTCTTTCTCACCGATCGAAAGTTGCAACGGAAAAGAAAAATAAGGACAAAAAATACTAACAGACGCGTCACGATATCCAAACACGCGGCCAGCCTTATTACAGTTTAACAGATATGCCTTTTTTACGAGCCCAGAATTACACTATACGCATAGTATAGTAACATAATAGTTAATAATATATATAGTAGTGAATAATCGTCATTTAGTATACAGATAGAGAATAATAAACGCGTATTAGCCGGGCGACGGAGACGCGGGCGTCGCGGCGTCCCCTGAACGCGCGCGGGATTATTTTCATCGACTAGAATTTGTGTGGGACGTGTGGTGTGTACGTGTGTTATACTTAAATATATATATATATATAATATTATTATAAAATAATAATAATACTAATAATAATAATAATAATATATATATACATATGTATACGTAATTTTTTTTTGCCTTTTTACCGTGATGCCGTTTCTTTTTTTTTTCTTTTTCTTTTTGTATCCTTAGAAATTTTTAATTGTCCTGGTTGAGAACGTCGACGAATTTCTGCCGGCAGAATTATTCTGTTCTTGGTTAACAGAGTCGTCCACGTGGCTGAACCATTAATCAGAATCTTCTGTACGGTCGCCGTACTTGGTACGAATCTATTCGCGAACAGAGTGGAGAGTTTGCTTTCTACCTCCTCTTCTTCGTCGTCGTCTTCTCCAGAACGTAGTTCACCTTAATCCTGATGACTTTAGGCTCATCCTTATACTATTCCAACAGCAGCACCGGGTTCTAACGTATTTATTTCCTCCTCTTTCTCGTCAAGTTTGGCTCTATGCAATTCCTACACCTTCCTCTTCTTCTCCGTCTCCTAATATCTTCCTTAATCTCAATCTTGTTCTCGCACGTCCTTATACTCATCTTCTTCCACCTCCTTCTCCTCCTCCGTCGCCTTCTACGGGTCTTCCTTCATTTGTTCAGCTTCTTACTTCTTACGGCCCAGGTACTCGGCCATCTCCTGGAACTTTTCCTTCTCGTCCTCAAGCAGCAGCGCTTGGACGCAGCTCGTGAAGTATTGAGTGCTGAAGCAGTCTTGCCTGGTGAAAATTAACAGAGGAACGTTAGGTAACGGGTATTGATTGGATAATGAAAATTTGAGAAAAATTTTTTGTGTCACTTGGATCTTGGAAAATTTCAAGATCACTGAGAAACGTTACGTGCTCTAGTCTGTTTTAATTGTTAGCGATGAAAAATGATGATGATTCTAGCTTTTTTTTTAATTTCAAAATTTTATAGAAACAGAGTTGGGCTACGTGACGTTTCATTTTTTTTTTTCAAAAATTTGCAAAAATACAGGTTCGTCACTCGATGCCGGTTACGAGCTGGAAAAAACATTTTTTTTTGGTTTCTTTCAAAAAGTACCGAATCGTTCGAAAATCGGTCATTCCCGTCTGAAAAAAATGGGGATGTCCTTTAAAAATGTTAGGAGCTGACGGTGGCGCCAAAAATAAATTATGCGTCCCCCAGTAAAAAAATTGTTTGCAAATGAGAAACAAAAATTTTAACACGGACAAAAAGTAAAAGGAAACATCATCAAAAAACAAATATTCTCACAAGGCTCTCCAGGCTCATTTATAAATATTTTGTATTTCTCTTAAAAATCAACACCCTCCCCCTTAACGACAACCAATTCAAAATTACCTAAACTCATTAAAATCGAATGAGCCCCGACGTGACGTGTAGCGTTTAAGCCTGCGTTCGCAGCTCTCGTTAAGACGCGCACGCACTGACGTCAGGCCGAAACGAAATGCATAAGAAAACCCCAAGAAGAGCACGGAGGAAAAGTAAAGGAGACGAAGAAACAAAATTGAGCGGGAAAAGGAAGAAAATTCAAAAAAACGATAACAGCAAAGATATCGACAAACTCAAGAAACAATTGGAGGAAGGTACGAGGCGTAAAGAAAAAAGTGTAAAACGAGCACCGATAATGGATTTAGCGTAAGGCAAAGAGTGTCAGGTAGGGTTAGTATCAAAGTAGCAAAATAAAAATAACGAAGAGAAATCATAAACATAAAATAAGAAGCTACCTAAACCCCGGGTTCAGCTCCGTGAAGTTGCTTGATCCACGTCTGGATCTGCTCCATCTCGTCCTGCAGTAGTAGAACGTCGAGGCATCCTTTGAAGTAGTCCGACGTGAAGCAGTTCTTTCTGTAAGGTTTCAATTAAAGTTAATGAAACACTTTTGGCCCAGAAAAAGAAAACGACCATCGTTAAGCATGAATTAGATATATCGTTCGATCGAATTTGCAGAGTCGCCAATAGGATGCCAGGAGTCGAAAACGATGATCGGTCTTGACCAAACTGTCATACAGTACCCTTACCGCACTCCTAAATAACAGAGTAAACAGCACGCATAGGGGCGCAGTGCATATAACACGTAGCGATGACAGTTACGGAGATACAAAAGTAGGCCGCACGATGGTTACGTCAAACCGTGCCCGGGAAATACGAGTGTAGTGAAACGTGAAGAAATACAAAGGAATAAAACTTTTTGAAACAGCTTGTACAAATATTCGTTCAGAAGTGGAGATTGTACCGATGGTTGGTACACGTAGGAGTAGGCGCACGTGCAACGGATTATCCACACGGGTGAGTGCATTTTAGTGCGCGACGCGCCCACAGAGACATCAAGCGGTAGTAAGACGTACTACGCGTGTTGGCATACAGTTCGCGGGCTGGCTATAAATAGAAGAGAAAACTCACTCCGTTTGGATACGCGTGCCGAGTTGACGATGACGCAGAGCGAGTATACGGTCTCACCAGGTGAATTGACAATTTGTCACAAAGTATAAGAAACGTAAAAAGAAGTATATCCCATCGTGGGTCGCGGTAGCGTTTCTGTAAGATACAAAAAGAAATATATCCTCATACCTGCAGAGCGAGTGGAGTTGTGGTTCACGGAAGAGGTTGTAGCAGTCTTCGCAGATGCGGTCCAGTCTTGCAAAGAGGCTCTTGTCGTAAACGCCCTTGCACTGGATGTCCATGAAGGAACGTTTTCCAAGAGGATGACCCATGAGGACGCTGGCGTCGGCTAGACCCAGACACGAAGACACCAGGAGAAGCGTCACGGACCAGGCCAGCATGGATAGCAACACGGGACAAGATGAAGAGCTGCTCGAGGACGAGGTGGAATTCGATGGCCAGGTGGAGGATCCCGTCGAGGAGGATGAAGACGACGACAGGGAGTTCAAGAGCGGTGATACGTAGGTGGAAACCATGGAATCGGATGATGGGATGGCTCCAGTTCTTTGCTGACGATGCATCATCTGCAAAGGAAAAGCGTGACAAAATAATAATTAACTATAGAAACGTCTAAAAAAAAAGAAAAAGGAAAAACAACGTCCTTGGTAAGACGGCGTAAACGATAGGTCCAGGACTTAAATATTCGAAAGAGCCAACACTCTGTCTCTGATTTATCTCGAGATAGTACAAAGTGCACTTGGGACAAAAAAATAAAGCACCGCGGGTGAGTCCAGGAGAGGAGAGAGTATACTCCAAGTGAATACACATACATATATCTAGAGAAGATGTAAAGCAACTCCTAACCAGTCCTGCAGCAGTCGCTGTGAATGGACCACACGCAGGTAGGCCCCACCTGTAAACGTTCTCAACCGACAACTTCATTAACCGAGGCCCCCTTGCACGACCCTACCTTCCTTCAGCCTTACTATTCCCTTTACAGAACACTACTTCTCATCCCACCTCCAGCCTCCATCAACTCCTCTTCCTCTTTTCTCAAGCCGATCCACTCCCACCGCTCCCCACGTATCATCCCCGCATCCACCTCGCTACCTTTTCCTCTCGTTCTTCCACATTCTCCCTTTTTTTTTCTTTTTCTTTCCTTTTCTCTTTCTTTTTTCATTTCTTTCTTTCTTTCGGGACATAATCGCCGCTCCCGGGTGGGATCTTATTTTTAGCCGGGCACTGATTCTCAGAATTTTTGCACGGCTATCGCTGTGGGGCCTGCCATGCCCTGGCACTCTCTCTCTCTCTCCCTCTCTCCCGTCTTCTATCCCTATTACCCTTTCTCTCTTTTGGTTTAATCTCTCACTCTCTTTCACCAGATCTTCTCTTCCATAGAGGATGCCGCTCGTAATTGGCTCCGGGCGATAATTCGCCGAGAGTGCTCGCGATCGTTAAACTTTCGTCCCATTTCGTCCTGGTTACAAGGAGCGTTTATCTCTCGCGCCTCCCTCTCCCCTCCTAACCGTCCCCGACTATCTCTCTCCCTCTCATTTCCCTGCTTTACTTATCATCCCACGTCACTCCCTCTCACAGTGATTGGATATTCGTGGTACGGGTCTTGTGTACCTTGCCGCTTCTTGGAAGTTCTCTCTTGAATGGCCCGCGATGCGTAAGGGACACACGTGTGTGAATGCATACGTGACGTGGGCCTAGGAGGCCGGCAGATTCATTGATAAAGGAGAGAGAGAGAGAGAGAGAGAGAGAGAGAGCGCGTGGGCGCGCGTTCTACTCTCTTCCACGGGTATGTCTGGCATCCTCGTGGATCTCAATGGTTAAGCCTCGTACACAGAGTACGTAACCTTGCGCGGCCACGTCCAAGGTGCCCTTATGCTCCGCGAAACGTATGGAACGTCGAAGGAGACCTTGGGGTAAAATTCGTATGCCGATGACACGTGGATAAAAAGATAAATTAGTACGAGGGAGGATAATACCGCGTACGAATGTCAATACGTAGTATATATATATATATATATATAGACATATATGTATACAGCTCTGTTATCCAGCTCGCGTATCTCTCATACGAGAGAAAGGCAGGACGGGAGGGGTGGTAGGGGAGGGTCGGTGAGGCTGGCAATAGACGTCGAGGTAGAGTAAAAGGAGGTGGCGGTCGAGCTGGAGTGGAATCGCGGTGAGGAGGCCGTAGAGAGAGGTATACGGTGAGGAGGCGTAAGCGTGGAGGAGAGCTGTGAAGGGTTAGGTTGAGGTAAATAAAGAAAAAGTCAATGGGGACCGGTTGGTCGACAGGTGAGGTCTTTTCTCGGCTTGGCCACGCACAGGTGTGCAATCTGCAAATCCCCTTTGGCAAAAAGCCACACGCTCGGTTGGCTTGGGCTGCCAGCTTGCTCACTCGGAGCACAGGCGGACTTGGGTTCGGTATAGGAGATCGTACGAGTACGGTATACGCGTGCGTGTAATAAAAAGTAATGACAGTGGAGGACCGAGAGAGATTTTTGTTCGATTGATAAATTGAATAGCAAAAAAAAAGAAAAAAAAAATTATTTTTTTTTTCAAATTCCCCGTTCAATCGAGTACCCGGTATCGAGTAACCGGGTAAAAGAGCCGGGGCCCATATGCCGAGGTTGACGGTGGCGGTCTCTTACGGTTTTACGTGCAAGGCCTCCAGGTGGTAGGAGGGAAGATCGAGAACGAAGGTAGTGATGCCTGGTATCGTTAGATAGATCAGCTCTCCTCGCCAGGTGGTCCATCCCGTGCCGGATGACTCAATCGTGAGAAGGAGCTGCCCGACGGGCTCACGAGAGACTCCAGGATGAGTGCTGATGTAGGCTGGCTATGTGTGCGCGCGGAGGAGAGATGAGAGTGTTGGGATGCTGGTCGGAAGAGAGGGACTGATGAAAGATGTATATGTATATATATATATATATATATATGGGAACGGGGTGGTGGGGCCCTCTAATTAGGCGCTCGACCGCCGTCGGTATACCATGTACCATATAACATATGCCGTGTGCTACGCGATACACGCTATATACCGTACGACGTCCAGGCCCCCCTCCAAAAAAGACGAGAGCCGTAAATCAACCGCCAACGAGGCTGCAGGGCTGCGGCTCGATCTTTGACGCGTACCTTTACCTACCTGCCTGCCTGGCTAACCCACCTACCTTGTGTCTCAAATGAAATCTGTGTTTGTTTGCTTGGCCAAAATATATGGGGATGCGAAATATTGAGGGGGTGGTGATCTGAGTGTTTTTTTTTGGCGAGGGGAGAGGGGAGAATTTATTAAAGATTTTTAACGAGAATCTTTTTCAAAAGTTCCCGCCATACGACGAGGTTAAGGGTGTTTCGTCGTTAATTATTGTGATCCCGAGTCGGCGAAGATTTGACAGGGGATTTTAATCGCGATTGGAATCCTCATGGGAAGACAGTGGAACGGGTCGTGCCGGGATCCTAGGATCTTTCTCGATCGGGATCCCCGTGTGCAAAAGTAACGATCCCGATCGCGTCCAAGATCAACACGACGATAATTTAGTACACAGGATCGCCACTCAGGTGCGCCCTGACACGTGCAAACGCTGTTGGTCTCCAGAAGGTTATGGGAGGTATGGCTAAGACTGGGGGTACCGAGAGAGACAAAGAAGAAGAAAAGGACGACGAAGCCCGAAAAAAATGAAGAAACTCGAAGGGACAACGAGGACGAAGAATATAGAGTACAGTAGCCTGAGGTACCAAGGTGCTCAAAGTGGTCGTAAGATCGGATGAAAATTTATAAACGTCAAGCTTCATCGTGTTCGTGGGTAATTTTATTGTCCCTCGGCTTAAGCAGCTAACTTCGCGGGCTAAAAATTTCGATTTCGTGAAAATTCACGCTCCAGGGGATTATATTGAATTCTGGACCAAGGATGCTGCGGATATAATCTGACATCTTTTTTCTGTCTCTCGTCATCCACCAGTTAAGAGATCAAGATCCAACTATTCAAAATGCCGCCCCCCCCCTCCTCCCCCCTGACAAGATACTGTACCATATCGATCAACATTGCAAATCCATGTGTGTTGTTTTTTATCCTTTGTAAGATAATGACTTTTTACGCACTTACAAGTGCCTTGTTATTCCCACATATTCCAATGTAAAAATAACACACTCGTGTACACAGCGGTCTGTAATAATCGGCGCGGCAGCTCCGGTGGCTTCGCGATGTGATGCTACGGGGGGATCGATCGAATCTTATTAATCGTGTTACATCGTTTTCTCTTGTATCGTGCAAGATAATCGATGTACTACAGAATACGACGTATAAAATTCTGGCACGGATTACCAAATACCGATTCAAAAAAAGAGTACGAAGTACGGCAGTACTAAGGGGATCTTATCGTAATGTAGTATGCACTGTCCGGGTCCGTTCTCCATTATCAGTGTTATCAGTCACCAGTAAGCCAGCTACACGTAAAAATAGAAACGACTAGAACCTTATGGAAGGTTCTATTGAGATCATCGAAATTTGCAGGAACCTCAACGAACGTCATCAGAGACTCGATTGGATATAAACAAGTATTAACAAAGCAAATCATGAAACATTGACGTCAATCTCTAGATGATAATTGTCTTGGTGTATATGATAGCTCTTATTAACCTAAGACCGATCGCTCATTAAATGCTAAACGATTCCAATAGAGTGTGCGTGTATATATATATATATACAGAGCGAACTCAAAAGGTTTTCCATCCATCGCCTAATCGAGCTCTAGGTATAGGATGACATTACGAATTCCTGTTCGGTGCGCAGGTAGTTAGTGGAGGTTATTTATAGAATGATTATTAGCGTCGGTGCTTGGGAGCAGTCGGGCATCGTAAGAAAAAGAAGAAAAAAAAAAGAATAATAAAAACTCAATAAAAGAGAACGTGTACGCAAGAGGCCCGTATTTATTAAGCTCATTCGGAGTCATTAGACGAGATACGGGCAATGCGTCGCAACGAGTGCGAGCGAGAGAGAATAAATACCCGAGAGAGAGGAGAGAGCGAGAGGGGGGGTGGGGGGAGGATAAAGAATAGAAAATTGTGGGAAATGTGTAAGGTAGTCAACTGCACGCGTGAATCCGTGATGGAATGCTCAACAGGTGTGCCAAGGTAGAGGACCGTGTAGGTACCCAACTACCTACCTACCTTCACTGCACAGTACGAAGTATACGTACAGAAAGTATTGTACACAATCGTCCAGGACTCACTTGAGCTAAAGGCGGCACGAAGTATCGGCTCATGGACTGTCTCTCGTGTTATTTTGTCGCGGTGCTGGCAAAGGTGCGATGAGTTCAACGTACGAATATTTTTTCTTCTCTCTTTCGTTTTCGCTCCTGCATCTTTTTCTCTCCGTCGCGACGTTACCGCGATGAAAGGAGCTAGCACGCGTCCGTATATAGAAGATAAATTTATAAGTATACAGTACGTGAGCTCTATACGGTTTTAAAAGATGAGCATAGACTATGTAGATTGTAGAGTTCGCCAAGTAAGAGAAGAAACGTTTAAGTACCGCGAGACGTACAGAGAGTCCACTGTTGTTCCGCCGACGTGGGACTCGACGCTCGATTTATTTACACGAGCTTCTCCTTCATCGTCTTCCACATCTGGTACGTTATAGCGAGGAACGAGGACCGCGAGGAGGAGACCGAAGATCGACCGAGCGACGTAAGAACCCTGGTGTGCAGGTTGTGTGTACGTATGTAGGACAGAGCGTGCACTGTTGTGGGACCGAGCGAGTCGGTCGTACGTTTCTAAAATTGTTAAGCGCGATGCTGAGAAAAAGGAGAGAGTGCATCGAGTGTATTAAACTGTAAGGCACGGTATGGTTATGTAGAACGTTGATAAAAAAAAAAGAAGGTATACCTTTCCCTTAGGAATGACTTGTGTTATGTATTGTCTGCGAAAGAGGGACGACGAATCCGCGGGGTGAGTGTCTCTTCTGGTAAGTTTAATATAGTTTATGGCAGAGTGGTAAGCCAGCGAGTACCAGGCACCGTGGCAGCAGCTAGCAGAGCCACGGTCTGGTGTGCGTTAGGAGAAGGTCTCAAGAGCCGGCGGCCCAGGAGAAGGGGAAGCGTGTTCCGGCAGACAGCTTGGCGTCCTACGGTTCGCATTACGAGAAACCGTAGCCTTACGTATCTCCTGGGGGCCCCTCGTGTGGCCAGGCACTACCCCCTCCAGACCGGTAATGCTTACCACCAGTCCCACTTCGCTCGCTCGTTCGCTCGCTGGCTCTCACTGACTTGGTTACTTTATTCCCTCGCCGGCAACGGCCATTCGTCAAGACTTCCATCTCCTTATGAGTTGTCCCGAGGATCAGCAGGAGCCGAGGACACGGGATTGACTTTGTATCTGAATAGACGCGAGAGAATCGGAAGGGATTCTTCGTTGTGTCGAAAGGAGGAAATATATTTAAGGTTAGAAACTACTCGAGCGGCAATGCTTTTTCTATTCAGAGTGCTTTTTAGGTTGCTGCATGTAAGTCTAACGACTCGTATACCTTGCTCGTGAGGTTATAAGATGTTTGAGGTTACGAACGTCGGGCCGTAGACGCCGTGGCGTCACTGTCAACATTGCCGGCAACGGTGCTGACACGTTTATCTAGTTAGTTACAAGTGGTGCGCGATGTCGGTACGTGAATTTTCAGTGCGCCCGAGGAAACGCGAGAGCCGGGATAGTAATCCGACCCGAATGCAAGGTAAAAGTGTTCGATCGTACGATCGGTCGGATCGTTGGAGCGTAGAGGACGGACGTGGTCGCGCGGCCCTGACTATCACTTCTGTATTATGGCAGACCGAATGTTCGAATTGCGCGCGTTTTATGTATCAACGAGTTATTTATCGTGCATTGTTGCTATCGCTATTGCCCCTTTCACCATCGGGCACTTCCTTCGGCGCTGCACAGTGAGGTTATTCTACGAGTTATCTACTAAATTCCTGAGCGAACCTCTCAAGGATACTTCGAGTCTAGAAACTCGTACCGAAATTTTCAGTAAGTAATGTTGACGACGATCCTTGAAATACTTTTGGAATATTTTTACTGACTTATCTTTACGAGAGAAAAAGGATCGTCCTTCTGTCTCGTCAATCCTAGCCTCAAAATGCTAGGGCAAAAGTGCATCCGTACGGAAATATATGGATTCCGGGTCGGCTGGGCAGCTGTATAGAAATTACTGCCGTAGTCAAAACGAAGATAAATAGTATAGACTGACCGAAGAAATGGCTTTATAAATACCGACAGACGCCCCGAGTCTTCCCGGAACGTTAGGAGGGCGGGAAGGAGTGGGAGAGGGGAGGGGGCTGGTACGTGGCGGCGTCTTAATTAATTGTTTCCAAAAATAACCAGGAGTCCCGTGGCCCGTTTGCTGTTCTGCTGACTAATGTAGTCTACACGCCTCGACTCCATCCCCTACCTAGTGACTTTACGATTCCCATTCCTCTCCTTTCTCCCTTTACCATTGCCAGCGGATCCCCCCTTCCTCCCCCCCACTCCACCCCGTCCAACCCACCCGCAATCCCTAAGACTTCCCACCACGTAGTATCCTGGGAACACGTGGTTTCCCACTTTAAAAGATCTCGAAAGGTCTGCGTTCTATGGGATGCTGTTAATATCCCTACTATTCAATCTTAGCGGTCCACTCAGCATCCCTGAGGATCCAATACACTTCTCGACTTTTTTTCGTAAATTAGTTTCCTGTGTCGCAAGTGCTTTTGGATTGTTAAACCTAACCTATATAAAATTCGTATGGCCGATGGAATATTTTTTTTTATCAGGAAAAAAAAAGTCTACAGAGAAAACGGACCGATATCTGACTGACGGACGATCTCAGATTTTTTATTATGCACGCTAATGCACGTGAAGTTCGTGGCTGGATCTGTGAAGAGCGAGATTGATTCGGCTAAGTTTTGGGTCTCGGCTCCGACGTAAAGATCCTCTGAATGATTTCTAAAGATAGATTCGAGGCTTCCCCTTATACACACTAGAATATATATATAGACGCAGTCTATGCCCTGTACTATACTCGTATAACCGTGCCTGATACATCAAGGGACCTAAGGCCTTTTTCGTATATTAATATTGGTCCAGCACAGCATCCCTAGCTTCTAACAGTACTTTCCCATTTAAACAGACCCATTTCAAGATGACTATCACAGTTGGGTTTTAAACACGAATTTAAATATTTACCAAGGATAAAAAATTGTGCGAATAATATCGACAAGTCCCACAATGCATCAGTCCCAAGTGCCTAAGGATCCGCTTGAAAAAAAAACACAAGACAAGCCCACTCACTTCACGCCACCATTTCACTCTCAATTTTTATGGCCGTACATTTTTTTTTCCTGGGTCCCATGGCCGAGCGTCACCCAACACCATCGGTTCTATTTTTACCGTAAAACCCCCTTGGGTTAGAGCATTGGGACGTGTGCTCGGACACCATGGAAACTACGCTTAAGTAGTTACTGTCCCGTTTGGATAGCATCGTTCTTACTCTCCCGGAGGTTAGGTTAGGTAGCCATCCGAAACGAAGATACCGTGGTACCATAATCCATGTTTACCATGGCACGCTTGACAATATTATACAACCTATTTATTCCTCTTCTTGTACCCAACGCTCAATTCACACGTGCCGACTGAAGTTGGCTCTCCCATAGAAATCAAACGCGTCAGCTAACTTCAGCTCGTACATTTCACTCGCCAGTCTCCTGGACCCTGTCGCTCTCCAGCCTTCTGCATAAGGCCCCGAGAGCTCCTGCCCTAGCCCTCCGTCGGTCACGTACCTCGCATGGAAAGGCGCGCGAGTAACGGATAAGGATAAGAGAGAGAGAGAGAGAGAGAGAGAGAGAGAGAGAGAGAGAGAGAGGTACTATCTCGCCCAGGAGACGTCCTGCTGACTCCCGGTACCCGCGAACAACCAAAAATTCCACACGACCCTGAAAATCTACTCTGTCCCACGATATAGATATGTATCATCCATATATATATTTTTCAGCATTTTTCAAAAATTCCTATACCCTCAATAATTTCGCAACTGGCAACTCGTAGACTTACGCGTATCGTCACGAGGATCCGGTGCCAGGACACCTGTTCCTCGTCATAGTCGATGATCTTGCTTTACGCTCTTACTCTACGTCTATACCTTGACTCTTTCTCTTTCTCTCCCCTTTAACTGTATCCCACGAGAGACACGACTACCAGAGACCTCGCTAAAGGTACTCTAGGCACACGATAAGCGTAGGCCGATCCTGATCGTGGGAACGGATCAATAACGGATGCCCATAATAATATACACCTACGCGAAACACGTTGTATATGCGTATATGGTGAAAATACTCAAATTTAGAAGAAAACAAATTCACAGTTATTAACCCGTCGCCGAGGTGAATGAGGAAGGTGCGTATGACTAATAGTCGCGACAAAGATGAATCGAGAGATTATAATGAACGATGGGGGGGGGGGGGGGGGGT